AGTACAATTCATGAATTAGCTTCTCTTGGGTTTGATCTCTCCCACTAAAATTCGTTATACTTGGAGATATTAAAGTTGTGTTCGTAATTGTTGTGAATCAAGCACGAAAAAAGCAATAAACTATAGAAAGAAATCGCAATTGAAGTAAACACCCTTTTAGATTTTCTTTATTCATTGTGTGAATGAATCAATTACAAATCCCCAAGTCTGTATTTATAAGCTCAAAAACCGACTCCCAAATCCACTAGAGAAAAGAAATCGTAAGCCTAACCCAATAAGAAAACTATACCGTTACATTCTTTAGCAGGGCTCTTTAAGAATATTTTTGTCACCAAAAAACAACAGTAATAAATATTAAAATTTGACATATTGCATCATTGTGCACACAGCATCACAATTCCATGCAATGATTAAAGTAAAGCCAACTTTGAGCCATTTCAATCAATGACCGTGCTTATGTCGAGACGGATGCGGTGATTTACATTAATTGAGTATGATTTTATTGAAAATAATCCTAGAATTAGGGAAATCTTAAGCAATTATTATTTCGTGTTAACAATATACACAGAGCCGGCCCTAGAGCCAAGCAGAGGAAGTATGGGCTTGCGACCCTACTTTTACTATAAACTATTTCAGCCCTCAAAATATTGAAAGTTTTTGTAGTGAAGTGGTTTAGTGTAAGTTAGGTTTTTGAAGCATATTCAAGTTCGATTCCTAATTTTGTAACTTCTGCCTAATTTTGTAACTTCTGCCTATTTTTTTCTTTACCTTGCAGCCACCTAATTTTGTAACTTCGGCCTATTTTTTCTTTAACTTGCAGCCATTTAAAACTTAGGGCCAGCTTATATGCATATATACGAGTTTGAACGATACTAACATAAACCATTAGATTGCAAGTGCTAATTAAATAAGTTGTTAATTTGAGAAACCAGATATTTTTAATCACTATGTTTACATTTGTGTATTTCACTAATTAGAGAAATTATTGAATTTAATAAATGTGATTTAAGAAACATATAAACTTATGACACAAAAAGAAGACCAATAAAATTTGAAACTTAGACCGACATATAATGAAGATATATGGAAATGAAAATTAGAAAAATATTTAGATAATTTCAAGAATAGAACGGACAGCTAGAAATACCTAATCAAGTTTTAAAAGAATCCTGAGTATACTAAGAACTCATAGCTCCCAAACAAATAAAAAGATGTAAAGTGAACGCAAGAGAATCACTCAGGATTGCAGTGGTAGGTGCAGTTTTGTTGTGAATTCCCAAATTAAAACTGAACTTTGTTGTTCTGTCGGTATGAAACAATTTGTATGTAGCTTAGACTGGTGACCAGTAACGAAGTAATAAACTGCATGCTGCTAGCTCAACTGAAAAAGCTTGTAAACTTCGACATAATTAAATGATATTTTGGATGAGATCATATTATATGCGTTGGATTTTAGTGGGTGGAAATATACGAGATACCTTTCAGAGAATCTACTAAACATAAAAACCAAAAATAAAAAACAATACTATATACTTTTAACTTGAATTATCTATAATACGTTTTTTTGTAAAAAAAACTATTATACGTTGGTAGGATCAATTTTGGACTACTTAATTAATCGTGAGTGATTCAATATCTTTATTATATTGGACCTACTAATAATTATTTGCATAGTTATGAATGCTTATCGAACCGAATTCTAAAAATTCAATTAAATGGCTCCCCATTTTTTATTTTCTTTTGGCTTTCCTATACGTGGAAGTATTCGTCACCTCAACCTTGTCGCTGACTCGCTGTCGAGTTGTTGTTACAAATAAATAGGACTGGGATACATAACGTTACGGCCTACGGGGTCCATCTTCTACGATATATGAATATCATAGACTATATAGTATAACATATATGACTCCGCAATATATAGTTACAGGACCATTTGTATAATAAATTGCGTTCGTTTTGTAATCTTTTCACACGAATCACAATACTATCTGAATATCACAATATTATCTACTAATGCAAGTATAATCACTTCAATTCAAATTTTCTTACTTTTCTGTTTTAAGAAAATAAGAACTGAAATAATTGACATTTTATTCAAATCTTAATTAAAATGATATTCGTTTTTTCAAAAACATGTATAGAGATATATTTTTAAGTGTATGATTTCTATAGAGTTTTTGAGCACATATTATACAAACATAAATATGTTAGATAGTAGTTGGGCGATAATATGGTTGGTTCAATCATTAAATTAATTTCCACATTCTAGTAGCCTTGTCGATATGTCTTGCTCTTAATTAGCTTGATCTTTTGGATAGCACTTAAGCAGTACGCTTACTATTTATATTCTATAATTTTTACACTTGGACCATCGTTATGGAGGTAGCACTAACAGCAAGCTTCTAGCGAAAGACACAAACAGTTTTTACATTTAATGTAATCTACCTTCAGTTTGTACCTTTTATATCACGTGAATATGTAGATTATACAGAGAAAGCCACCCTTCTTCACATTCAGTTCTGTGGGGATATATAGTAGCTAGTATGTATCACCTATTGCTTTTGCTTGTGATCGATCACATCTACCCTACGCCTTTTCGTTCCAATTTTTTCTTATAAATATTCGTATTTACGCATGATAAGTCATTAAGTCGATTTTTAAGAACTCTAAAGTAAAACAAAAGTAGCATATGTCACGATAGTCTTAAAAAGAGAAAAGAATATGTCACGATAGAGACCAGAAATGATACCAACAATATCTTATATATTGCCGAGCGTGATGGGCTCTAGAAGTCTTGGTTGTATTAATTATGGTGACCTATAAAGTTGCCGTTTCTTAAAAGTTTACTTCACATGCTCAAAGATTTAGCATGAGATTCTTAAATTAATTAGTATTATTATCCCATTTCAATGTAACCTAATTGTCGTATTAGATTATTATATATTGGATTACACATGTCTAATATTATATACACATTGGATTACACTTATAAGTAACACTTTACATTTTTTTAACATCCTATCTAACACTATATAATTTGTTTATTCAATATATTAATCATGAAAAATTGGGAAATCATAGTTTTGCATTTAAAATATACAATAAAACCTCTATAAATTAATACTCGATAAATTAATAATCACTATAAATTAATAAATTTTACTGGTCTCAAGTCGGACCAATGTAAAAATCCATCAAATTCGATAAGATAATAAGATAATAATTTTTTTTGAAATCCTTATGTAAATATATGGTCCCAACAAAAACATAAATTAATAATTATAAACATTAATACAAATATATGTAAATATAGTATTCTAAAATATGACTAATGTGTTTATTTTTACTTAAGGTTGAAATCTCATTGGATCTGATTTTTTTAAATATTATATCAGTAGCTTTTATTGATGTTTTACGATATACCTTCAAAATTTATGATAAATTTTAATGTAATAATTGATTTTCATATCTGTAAATGTTTTTAAATGTATTGTAGTGTTATCTTCAATTTTATCATTAATAATACAGATAGTAGCCATAATCTTTTTATAAATTTTAAACTTATGAACATATATATTTTTACATGGATAATCCAATATGGTATTGAAACTATTTTATTGCGATAGTTATGATTGTTAAACATAATTTATATTACGAAATTTGTTAAAATTTTAAAATATAACATTATTCCAAAGAAAATTTTAGAAAACTATAAGCGGAAAGCAATTTTTTTCTATAAATTAATAATTTATAGATAAATTAATATCACGATAATTAATAAAATATCCTGGTCCCGACATTATTAATTTTATAGAGGTTTTACTGTACTTTGCAATTTGAATCAAACCAAACCAATCGAATCAACCGGATAATGAGTCCTCTAAAGCGATCGGTACACGCATGTATTTGAGTCTCTCAAAAACTAAATTTAAGCAAACCGACTTTAACCAAAGAATCAAAGTTGTTTGAATTTTGTAATCTAATCACACAAAAGATAGAAAAGTTATATTTAATTAACATAAGATCATTTGAGTATTTATATCATGAAATTTATAAATACTCCATGGAACAGTCTTTTCAATTTATTGAGATTATGCGGTTACCATAATATCTATTATTATTTTCTTTTTCTAACTTTACCTACTAAGATAACTCAAAATTAATTTTTGACGAGTTTAGAATTATTTGTACTTTCTTTTAGTTTAAACAATTTTATCTAGAAGCGTATTTATATATTAGAGAATTTGTGATATCATTCTTTTAATTTAATAAATGTGGAACAAAATGCGTTAAAAATTTGTGGAACAAAATGCGTTAAAAGTTTGTGGAACAAAATATGTTAGAGCCAAAATATTTAATGCAAGTTTTTTTTACAAGGATTTGCAAATATTTAATGCAATTTATTCAATGGTTTTAACAGATATTAAATGTGATTACATTTTTCAATGATATCGGAATATGATCGTTTAAGAAATCGTTTTTAATCTTCTCAAATTTAATAACACAAAATTGCTGTTAATAAAACAAACAAAACAAAATTATGGTGCTGTTACATAAGTACTAAATCTTTGATGTTCCTTTTCTTAACCCACAGTACAAATTACAATGATTATACGCAATTTATACGTTACAGATATTTGAATCTTCAATTAATGCGTTTATTTTGAAAAAGAGTAGAGTATTAAATAATCCATTAATCTTGATTAAGAGGATCGATAGCATCTTGAACTATTTCAACGATTATAATAGCGTTGACAATAATACGCTCTAATATAGTTGTCACACTCTGCTGGCAATACGTGTTTCGACAAACGCACCGCCATTAATAGTCTAATAGGATGTCTTTAAAACAGCTTGTTATATAACAAAAATGGTATGGTTCATGGTTGAGATTAAGTACACTATCTCAGATGTATTCTACGATCAAAATTATTAAAATATCAAAAACCAAATCAGATAATAATTCGGTCTTGTCCGAAGTCTACGTACTACACAAGTCCACAACACCTCCACCGCGCAATGCATGGCACACACACATACACATATTTGTATCTACATGTGTCTATATATATATAAATATAAGTGTGATAACATAGAAGAAAAGTTTATATATTTTCCGTTTGTCCTGGTTATCGTGATTCAAAGCAAACTTGTCTTGACTAAAAATCTTACTTTATTTACTTACGTTACAATAAAGCAAACATGAAAGACAATACAAGCTGGTCTTGTTCTTGTTCTTCATTGAAGCTATGTTTGTTGTCTCTCCTCGTTCTCACTGAGACGGTAGTCGCCGTAAAGCTGCCGCCAAACTTGAAGATTCCGGCACTAATAGCTTTTGGAGATTCCATCGTCGACACCGGAAATAACAACAATGTCAAAACCGTAGTTAAGTGCGATTTTCATCCTTACGGTATCAATTTCCAAGGAGGAGTTCCCACCGGGAGATTCTGCGACGGACGAACCCCCGCCGATTTGCTAGGTCCATTCTCGTGATTCTATTCATTTCTACATATATATTACCTTACTCTTCTTTTTTCCTAGCTTTAATGTGACAAGAGAAAATTCACTGGAAAAATAGATTTCACGCATTTGTAGATAACGACCCTTAATTACTAGGACACAAGCCACGGCAAATTATTTGAGCAATCAATGTCCCCTTTAATTTAGATATTAGTTAAAACAAGTCTAGTAACATTGACTCAATATGTGTACCAAATTTTGTTAAAAGAAAGTCAGTCTTCCACAATAATATTGTTTTTAAAAAGGTCAGAATTATAAGCTATTTATCTTTATGCTCTTGTCATTTGTAGCTGAGGAAGTGGGAATAAAATCAGTTGTACCTGCCTATCTCGATCCAAATCTAAAGCCCGAAGATCTTTTAACCGGTGTATCATTTGCGTCGGGAGGTTCTGGTTACGATCCCATAACACCTAAACTTGTGGTAATTAATACAACATATTTACTCTGATGACGATTATAGTGTTTTTGATTAATTACAAAATCCTATACGGATATGGAAATATTCGATCTGATATTTTATCCTAACTTACTTGGTCTCATTTCTATTTGTTGATGGTATTAGGCCGTAATATCATTACAACAGCAATTGAAATATTTCGAGGAGTACATAGAGAAAGTCAATCATTTAGTAGGGGAAGAAAGAAAAAGATTCATATTAGCCAACAGCATAATCTTATTGGTCGCAGGCAGCGACGACATAGCCAATACTTACTATGATCTTCATGCAAGACCTCAATACGACGTCGATTCGTATACTACTCTTATGGCCAACTCTGCCTCCGATTTTGTGACTGTAAGCTTCTCTCTCTCTCACACACACACACATACACACACACATATATATATATATATATATATATATATATTCCACAGGAACTAGTATACTTGTCTTTCTGTAGTATTACTGAAAGAGTAAACAAAAATAACTATTTACAGTTTACTATATATATTCCACAGGAACTAGTATACTTGTCTTTCTATAATAGTACTGAGAAGTAAACAAAAATAACTATTTACAGTTTACTGGATGAGCTATCAATAACGTAAAGCATATGCTAAAAGTAGTAAAAATCTATCAAAAAAGTTACTAAATTCAGTGACTAATACTTCTATTTATGTCATGGAATATTTTATGACAACGGTTCAGAAGCGTTGCTTTTTACAACATACTTGAAAAATGTAGATACCTGATACGTTTAGTATAGAGGTGCATTATATTGAAATAATCATTTTAGCTATGAGTATTTCATAATAAGTATTTCTAGTTACTATCAAATTTATGGCCACCTACCCAACTATCACCTTTCATATCACTTTTAATTTAATTTCAGATCCTCACACATTTGATTCCGGCGAAGAACACTCATATAGCATAATGTTTTATATTTCATATACTTTTTCAGTCACATATAACTTTTCAAGCATTAATGTTGGGCGTACCATGCATGTATAGATTTATCCATTGATGTGTCTCATCTTTTGTCACTTTTCATCTCTGATAGAATATGTAATATTTGTTTGGATTGAGTTTTTCTTATAACGTTTATTAAATACTAGCTATGCATTAGATATAATGATTATGATGAAATATTTACAGAAGCTATACGGATATGGAGTGAGAAGAATAGCTGTGTTTGGTGCACCTCCACTTGGGTGTGTACCATCTCAGAGAACCGTAGGAGGAGGTCTTTTAAGAGAGTGTGCTGAGTATTACAACGACGCAGCAAAGCTTTTTAATTCAAAGCTCTCTGTAAAATTGGATTTGTTCCGTAAAACTCTACCGGGTATAAAACCGGTCTACATTAATATCTATGACCCACTTCTCGATATCATCCAGAATCCTGCAAAATACGGTAATACCCTAAACGTGATATTTAAATTTATTTGTAGTACTATTGTTGTCTTCCATATGAAAAATGTACTAACTTTAACGTTATGATTTGGGTTATTGTAGGATTTGAAGTGTCTAATAAAGGATGCTGTGGAACCGGAGTCATCGAAGTTGCGGTGCTGTGCAATAAAATCACATCTTCTGTATGTCCAGACGTGTCTAGCCATGTGTTTTGGGACAGTTATCATCCCACAGAAAAAACTTACAAAGTGTTAGTCTCACTGTTGATTAACAAAGCTATTAATCAATTCCTCTGAAAAAAAAACTATTTTCGCGTCAGAATGATTAATTATATTTTTCATCATATATTGTTTGTATCATTTGGAAATTGTACTCGGTTTAAATATGTTAAATTCTTGTTATTTCATTTCTTGAATAAACCAATTAGATTTTTATTTCATATCTTAGAAATTTAGTGTAGTTGGATTCGCTTCAGTCTAGTGGCGTGGGGATGAATGAGTCAACGTGGCGAAAAACATCGTTGCAAAACAAATCATCATATATCATTCATTAATTGTAAATGCCTTAAATATTCTTTGGTGTAAGTGAAGATGTGACTACAGGTTCTTAAAATTCATTAGTAAATGTATTAAAAGAATATACTCCATTTTTTTCTGTATTTATCATCATATAATTATGGAAATGATATCTTCGTAAAACATGCTGACATTCATCCTGTGTGTCCTCACTACTCCCATGCATTTTTAGCTTCCATCGACAAACAAAAACTAAACGTCTAAAAATAGTTTTTTTAAAAAAAAACACACTTGTTTATATACTACTGACATGAGCTTATAGAAGCCCCCATTAATTGAATTCTCTATAAAACATAAGAGAGTCTAACACACTAGTGTTGGGGACCAAAAAAACAAAACTTAATGTTAGATATGTTTAGAAAATTAAAAGTATTGGTATTAGCATTAATTTCCATCTATAATTTCTTGTCAACCGAAGCGGTCAATGGATCATTTCCTGCGCTTTTGGCTTTTGGAGATTCAATAGTTGATACCGGTAACAACAATTACCTCCTGACTCTAATGAAAGGAAATTACTGGCCATATGGCAGGAGTTTCGACATGAGAATGCCTACCGGAAGATTCGGAAATGGAAGAGTTTTCTCTGATATAATTGGTATAATTAATATCATAATCTATTAGAATATTTATTTGTAATTCCTTTTTTTTTCTTTTTTTTTCTCATTTATACTAAAGTTTTTTTATTTTCCTTTTTTTCAGCCGATGGTTTAGGGGTAAAAAAAACATTACCAGCTTATCGTAAGTTGTTCATTGCTCCAAGTGACCTTAAAACTGGTGTTTGTTTCGCATCAGGTGGTGCAGGAGTCGACCCTAAAACAAATAGAATGCTGGTGAAAACAAAAATAATGAACTTGTTCTTTCGGTTTAAAATGTTTAAAGATTACCTAAACCAACGTTTCCTAATGAAGTGTTGTAATTTATTTTTGGGTGGTCAGAGAGTTTTATCGCCGAAAGACCAAGTAAGAGATTTCAAAGGCTACAAAAGGAAGCTAACGGCCGTAGCAGGGGCACGTGCAAATAATATTATTGCAAACGCAGTGTTTCTTATTTCCGAAGGAAATAATGATATTGGAATCACATATTTTGGGACAGGATCCGGACTTCGAGGAATGACTCCAAATAGATACACCAATAAACTAGTTGCATGGAACAAACAATTTATGAAAGTAAGACGAAAGAATGGCATTTTTTTTTTCATCAAGCATTCCATATAGTTTTTCATATTTTGTTCACATTCTTTTTGGTACATGTATGGAGGATTTATATGACCAAGGAGCTAGAAAATTCGCGGTGATGGGAGTGATACCATTGGGATGTTTGCCTATGTCAAGAATCTTCCTTGGTGGATTCGTGGTGTGGTGCAACTTCTTCGCGAATAGAGTAGCCCAAGATTACAACAGAAAATTGCAGAGCGGAACTAAAAGTTGGGCTGGAGAATCGGGCTTTAGCGGTGCAAAGTTTGTCTATGTCGACATGTACAACACTCTTATGGATGTTATCAACAATCATAGGAAATACGGTACGTTTCTTTACGTTACGCACCATCATGTATATATATATATATATATATATATATATTCGTCATTGCCTTGTTCCTCCATATCCTGGATAGTGTCACTGCGATATTAACGTAATATGGTAGTTACGTATGCATGTTCTATGGTTGCAGGATTTACAAATGAGAAGAATGGGTGTTGCTGCATGATTACGGCAATAGTACCATGCCCCAACCCAGATAAATACGTCTTCTATGACTTTGTTCATCCCTCCGAGAAAGCCTACAAAACAATTTCGAAAAAGCTTGTCCAGGATATCAAGACAGGCCTTGCCTGATTTCTTACAATGCTTTATTGTAATCTTAATAACTACCATCGTTATTTATTTATATATAAAATCATATACATGAGATATGATCTATTTCTATTTTTCTTATTAGAAAGAATGTTTAACCCAGTTATGTATTGTTCATTTTAACTCTTACATAATCCCAGAACAAAGGCGTTTGTTTACAAAATTTTAAAGTTCTAAACCTGCTAAAACAAACTCTCCCAATGCATGAGATAGAGTGTTTCTTATCAGTTCGATTTTGCTTGCTGAGTTTTTTTTTTTAATTATAAATCGGATCTTCTTTACAGTTTTGTTAATCGGATTTTTGAATTTAAAATTGGATTAATCTAATTGCAAATTATAAAATGCGATATTACACTTTTAATTTCATATTTGGAAGTAACTAAAACTATATATAGTTTGGATAGTAAAGCGATGAACCAAAATGGAAGAAAATAGTTAAAGATGCATTAGTGAGGGTGGTATAGCAAAGTCAGCCCAATAAAAAAACAATAAATTAACATCCTCAGACTCCAGTGAAATAAAAATCCATAAGTATTTGGGGCCAAAGTGAAATAAAGATCATAGCATTGATAACTATAGCTAATATTATACGAAATTATATAGGCTTTCTATATATCAATGATAACAATTATTCATAAAAACCTTGGGGGCACTAGCTGATGTTTGCTTTTTATTAATGTTACTTACAAAGTATGCTTCTTAAGTGCATATGATGGTATAAAAACATTTGAAATAATAATGATGTCTCATGGTAACCAACTAACTAAACTTGCACAGATACTTAAATAAGATGCACTAAAACATGGTTTAAGAAATAAAAATCGTAAAACATGAGATATATGGAATTGTTATTTTCTTAAAACATCCTAACATTCATTCGGTGTGTATTGCACTCTCATGCATTTTGGCTTCCTTCGACAAACAAATTCTAGACGTCTAAAACTAGTTAGAAAACCATCAAGTGGGTTCTGTATAAAACATAAAAAAAAAAATTCAAAACTGTCCCGGAGAAAAAGTGTGAACTTAAATTTTCGATATGTTTAGGGAAACAATACTGGTGTTGACACTATTTTCCATTTGTTTCCTCTCATCAGCGGCTGAAAAAAACAACACATTTTCTGCGCTTTTCGCTTTTGGAGATTCAGTACTAGATACTGGTAACAATAATCTTCTTCTAACCCTATTGAAAGGAAATTACTGGCCATATGGTTGGAATTTTGACTTTAAGATACCGACGGGAAGATTCGGAAATGGAAGAGTTTTCACTGATATAGTTGGTATAAGATCACATTCAATGACAGTTTGTTCCTTTAATTTTAAATTTTTACTTTATCGTATTATTTATATATATAGAACCATATAGTAGAAATAGTATTCTCATGTGGTGAAGTCTTCTATTCTAGCGGAAGGTTTGGGGGTCAAAAGACTTGTGCCAGCTTATCGTAAGACTCGTCGCATTAAACCTGACGACCTCAAAACCGGCGTTTGTTTCGCATCAGGTGGTTCAGGAATCGACGATCTTACATCCAGAACGCTGGTGAAGAAAAACTATATATAAACTTGTTGTTTCCATGAACACTATATAATATATTTTGACCCATATAAATTTTCTAAGAATTTTTTTTTCATTATTATTTACGTTGAGTTTTTGGTCAGAGAGTTTTGTCAGCAGGCGATCAAGTAAAAGATTTCAAAGACTATCTGAAGAAACTAAAGAAAGTTGTGAAAAATAAGAAAAAAAGAAAAGAAATTATTTCAAACGCAGTGTTTCTTATTTCTGAAGGAAATAACGATCTTGGATACTTCTTTGCTCCCGCTATTGTACGATTATACTCCACAGATACATATACAAGTAAAATGGTTGGTTGGACCAAAGTATTTCTACAAGTAAGACATTTTTTTCAAACAATCATTGATATATATAGTAGCAATTATATATATGCATTTGTTCACATTATTTGGTTTATGTACATCTATCAATATATGAAGGATTTATATAAACTCGGAGCGAGAAAATTCGCAGTGATGGGAGTGATGCCGGTGGGGTGTTTGCCTTTCCATCGACTCATGTTTAGTGGGGTATTCGCATGGTGTAACTTCTTCGTGAACTCAGTTGTGGAAAACTTCAACACCAAGTTGAAGAAAGGTCTTCAAAGTTACGATGTAGAAGATTGTTTTAAAGGTGCAAAGTTTGTTTACGTCGACATGTACGGCACTCTTATGGATCTTATAACCAATCCTAAGGCCTATGGTACGTAGATACACATACATCTCATAGATACTTACATGAAGTAACCAACTGATGATCATCATGATGGTAAAATAATGGTTATTGTCTTGTTTCTCCAAATCAGTAACCAGCTCGATATCGTCATTTTTCCTCCTCTCTTTTTATTCTTGTTCATCATACATTCTATTTACTTATGTCATCAATGTTTATATCAAATTAATTTCACTGATTTGTTTTTTTTTTTTTTTTTTTGCAAACCTTTGTAGTTTAGATTTCGACCTGAAATCTACCCGTTATGTAAAGAAATTTGAGAAAAATGGGTAAATATATTATGACCATTTGCTTTGACAATTTATGTGTAAAAATTTAATGATTTCAGGGTTTTCAGAAGGGAAAAGATCGTGTTGTTGTATGCCGACGTCAATAATACCATGCAAAGACCCGGATCAGTACGTCTTCTATGACTTCGCTCACCCCTCCCAGAAAGCCTATGAAGTAATATCCAAACCTCTTATCTATCAAATGAGGAAAGGCCTTGCCTGATTAGTTTCTTGTTTCTTACAATGTATTTTATTTTAATCTTATTTATATACTACAGTTAATCATGTAACAGAAGACAATATCATACACATGACATGACGATATCTATTCTTATTGTAAAGAGTGTATGATCCAATGCTGTATTCGGCCTAAAAAAGATTTTTATTTTATTTTTATTTTTAGAATTTCCGTAATTAATTATATGTATAGTATCGTATGAAATGAAGTAAACTTGTATATAAGTCTTCACTCTGGGGGCATTTCGTCTTCTGAAAATCATGCAAACACGATTAAAGTTTGCCCCAGTTTTTGAATTATGCAAACATGATATATAAGTAAATATATAAATAGCGTATGTTTTAACCTTTTTAATGTTAAGAAACCTTCAAGTAGTATTCAAAACAAAAAATCAAGAATCTACAAATTTAAAAGACATCTGTACTTCAAAAAGTTAAATGCATTAAGATAAAAAGTAGAAATGTTAACAGAGAGAAAACTTTAGTTCGTCTTAAATAGAAAAGATAATATAAACGGTTTTCATATCAACTAAAATAATGTTACAAAAAAAGACATCATAATATCGTATTATAAACATTTCATAATTTGTTTTGTTTCAGTTATAAAATATATGTATTCAAAGTTTCAAACATACAAAAATGAATACGGAATCCTTTTCTTTCATCGTTGTTAGCGAAATTTTGATTTTAAATTATATTCCATATGTTCTTAAATTAATTGCTGGTGGAGATTTTTCCCATAGTGTTGAAAATATTTATGCCTCAGGCCCTCACCAGAAGCATACAAAATGATGCGGGAATTTTATCTATTTTTCAACAGCGGTGTGGAAATTAATATTTTGGATGTTTTTTATAGATTTTTTTTTGGCATTAAAATTAAAGTTCAGCTAGATTGTTCATCATGGTTTTATACAATAGGCACAATCTAATGTTTAATTTGCATGTTTGTTAAATGATACAGTCATGCCTAAGAAACCTCCTTTAGTTCAGTACATATTGTTTTTTTTTCCCTCACACGAATTGCATTGTTTGAAACTCATATAAACCCAACCATTGCCGGTCACGTATGTGAATCACGTGGGTTACCTCTTCCCATATTTTGCTTTAAATGTAAGAACTAGTAATATAAATACTGATCAATCCAAAATGTCTTAAAAGGCTCTTTAATTAGTCTCTATATATAACATCAAAAATCCTTTCCAACATAAAAGTCCATTTACATTTCGTCAAGTATTACATTTACTTCAGAGATAAAATCAAATACACATACTAATGGAGAGGTTTCATAAGTTTGCTCTCCTAGGTTTGGTTATGTTCCTCGGTCTGATCGGCTCCCCAACCACGGCCAATGAATATGCTTGTTCGAGTACCGATCAAACTTTTACCCGTGCCCATTTTCCTAAGGGTTTCATTTTTGGTACCTCAACCGCAGCTTTTCAGGTATCATATACACATTTTATTTATCATATTTGACGGTACGACCTGACCAATTCTATAGAACCGGTCCTATAAAGGTTAGATCAAAATCAGCCCATGATTGTTCAAAAGAATTTCAAAAACTCATATCGATCCGGTGTTATCATAATAGAAGGAAAAAACTTAAACTTTGTTAAAAGATTGCTGCAGCATATCTACTTGCATATTCATTCGAGCTGCAAGTTGGAATATTGATATGAAATTTTTATTATCTGAGCGAAATATGTGTTAAGTTGATTTTTTCTATAAAATTAATTTTTTGTGACAAAATAATTCTTCAAATGTTAGTGATTTATGTGGTCAATTAACTAGGTTGAAGGAGCTGTAGATAAAGGATGTAGAGGCCCAAGCATGTGGGACACCTACACTAAGAAATTTCCACGTCTCCCTCTCTTTCTCTGTCTCTTCCTCTTTTAAAGTAATTTTGACTAATAAAATTGCCAATTATATATATACCAATCATCTGTTCTTCAAATATATATTTTCAGATAAATGTAATTATCACAATGCCGACGTTGCTGTCGATTTCTACCATCGTTACAAGGTATTTGCTATGTTATTTATCCCTACTGTATACTTGTGAATTGTGAAGTTCTTTAAGAATTATTATTAACAAATAATAAATTTAATAGGAAGATATCAAGTTGATGAAAAGTCTAAACACTGATGGATTTAGATTTTCAATTGCATGGCCCAGAATATTCCCACGTAAGTTAATAATCTTAGCCAGGCGACTTATATTTCATTGCCTTTACTCAGATATTGCAATGGTTGATATATAACAGAAAATTGAATAATTAACAGATGGTAGGATGGAGAAAGGAATAAGCAAAGCAGGTGTGCAGTTTTACCACGACTTAATCGATGAGCTCCTCAAAAATGGTAATTTGTTTTCATTTCCGATAAACTGATAGACTTCAAAAATATTATATCAAAACTATTACGCGTACTAACTCTTCATTTATTTTTGAAATTCAGAAATAACACCATTAGTAACCGTTTTCCATTGGGACACTCCCCAAGACTTAGAAGATGAATACGGTGGCTTCTTAAGCGACCGCATAATGTAAGATTATTTTTGTAGTATATATGATATCTGACGTAATTTTTTGTTATAATTTATTTTGTCATTTACATACGACTTAATATGTAATGAAAGTGTCATATGCCTTTTTGGTATATTTAGAAAGGATTTTACGGAGTACGCAAATTTCACATTCCAAGAGTATGGACACAAAGTAAAGCATTGGGTCACAATCAATGAGCCATGGGTGTTTAGTCGAGGTGGCTACGACATCGGGAAAACAGCACCGGGACGATGTTCTAAGTACATCAGAGAACATGGAGACATGTGTCACGATGGACGGTCAGGATACGAAGCCTATATCGTTAGTCATAACTTGCTCTTGGCACATGCCGATGCTGTTGAAGCCTTTAGAAAATGCGAAAAGGTATCCACATAATTATATAACATAATCATCATTTAATTTAAAAGAAGTTTTAATATTCATGTAATTTAATGAACAAGTATATAGAAACATTAATTTCTTTGTAATCATTTACAGTGCAAAGGTGGTAAAATTGGGATTGCTCATAGTCCAGCTTGGTTTGAGCCGCACGAGCTCTCGGAAGATGAGCACGAAACTCCTGCAACTAATTTGATTGACTTCATATTGGGATGGTTATAAAAAAAACCTAAAATAGTAACATTTAATTTCAAAATTTAAAATATAGTGTATATTTATGTGTGTGTGTGACAAATACTAATATGGTTTCTCAGGCATTTGAATCCGACCACGTATGGAGATTATCCACAATCGATGAAGGATCATGTCGGAGATCGACTACCAAAATTTACAGAGGCACAAAAGGAGAAATTGAAGAATTCTGCTGATTTTGTAGGAATCAATTACTACACTTCCCTATTTGCATTGCATGACGAAGAGCCAGATCCTTCGAAACCGAGTTGGCAGAGTGATTCCCTCATCGACTGGGAACGTAAATCTACTCTATCTCTCTTTTTCCACTAACACTATATTATGAAGTTTGATATATATATATATATATCATTTACAGTATTTTCAAAAATTATCGTTTTTTTACTCTTTTTTCTTCCAGCAAGGTATGTGGATAGATTCAGTGCTTATGCTAGCAAGGTATGTGATTTTTTGCTGTTGTTGTTATAATTTACAATGTAAGAAATATGAAATTTTATTTGATTTGTTTTTTTTTTTAACTTTGTATTTTTAATAGCCTGATGTCGCTAAAGTGGAAGTCTACGCAAATAGTTTGAGAAGCCTTTTGAAATATATAAAGGATAAATATGGCAATCCTGAAATCATTATCACCGAGAATGGTTAGAGAAACGTTCACCTAAATTAAATCTCATAATCATATAATCAGAGATCGATTCCGGTTTAACTTTCTTTTTTACATTCCACATATATAAACCTTTGAGTTTTTGAATTTTTTATTCAAGGATACGGAGAGGATTTAGGCGAGCAAGACACGAGTCTTGTATTGGCGCTCTCAGATCACCACAGAACATACTATATCCAGAAGCATCTTTTGAGCTTGCACCAATCCATTTGGTTTGTGAACAAATCATGTTTTTGAGTTATATTTTGATAATTACCATGTGAAAAATATTTATTTTTCTTTTATTTTTTACCAAAGATTTAATTGTTTTTGTTTTTGTTTTTGTAGCGATGATAAAGTAAACGTTACAGGGTATTTTCTTTGGTCATTGATGGACAATTTCGAATGGCAAGATGGATACAACGCGAGATTCGGACTATACTACGTTGATTACAAAAATAATTTGACCCGCCACGAAAAATTATCTGCCCAGTGGTACTCGAGTTTCCTCCAAGCTGGACTGAAAGAGTTCGAGTTTGAGCAAGATGAGTTGTAGAGATAATTCCTTGCCATCACTTTGAAAATTCACAAACACTTTGTTTACAATTAATCAATGTATTTCCATTTCCAAGTAAAATAATCATATTATCGATTTACAAGTTGTATAAGTTTTGATTCAAGAGTGGTTATAAAATTTAATACTGTATAATTTAATACTATATACTGATTTTTTATATAATTGAAAAGATTTACACTATATTTCTTCTATGGTAATTTCTCATACTAGTAAAAAATCTAGTGTGAAAAAAAAAAGCTAGTGTGAGAAAAAAATGGTATGTTAATTTATGAGTTATATACAAAATATTCCTGCTTTGCCTATGGTAAAAGGGAACATACAGGTAAATAAAAATCTCAACTTTTTAATGAAACTAGGATTGTTTCTATTTTTCCTAATTTATGAGTTATATACAAAATATCCTGCGTTCTCAAATTAAAAGGGAAACATACAGGTAAATACATGTATAAAAAAACTTAATTTTGTAATTAAATTAGGATTACGACAAAAAAATAATGAATTAGGAGTGTTTTCTATTTTTCCCTTTTTTTCTTTTTGGAAAAGAATAATAAACATTTTCCTTATTTTCCTAATCCTTCGATGACTTCTTAACAATCGACCGACTATCAAAATTAGGGATATATATACATACACAGAGAGACGCATACCTTTATTTCCATCATCCATCGCTTCTTCTCAAATCTCCTCAAAAGCAAAAAACAAATCTCCCAAATCTCTCCTCTTTTTCTCCACAGAGATGTCGTCGAAGAAGATTGTGTTGAAGAGCTCCGATGGCGAGTCTTTCGAGGTTGACGAGGCGGTGGCTCTCGAGTCCCAGACCATAGCGCACATGGTTGAAGACGACTGCGTCGACAACGGAGTCCCTCTTCCCAACGTCACGAGCAAGATCCTTGCCAAGGTGATCGAGTACTGCAAGAAGCACGTTGATTCCGCTGCTTCCAAGAGCGAGGCCGTCGATGGTGCTTCCTCCGACGAAGACCTCAAAGCCTGGGATACCGAGTTCATGAAGATCGATCAGGCTACCCTCTTCGAACTCATCCTGGTTTGTTACTCTTCTCTCGATTCTATTTTCGTTGCCTGATTTTGTTTTACTTTCGATTTTGCGATTTTAGGGTTTTCGATTTGGGAATTTAGGGTTTCGTTCTTCGATTTTCCGTATCCGAAATTTAGGGGTTTGTTTCAGAAATTGAACTTGCCTAAGATTGAAATTGTTAGGGTTCTTAAGGAATCGGCCATGAACTGAGTAAAGATTTGATTTTTCCTGAAATCGAATCGCCTGGAATTAAAAATTTGTTTAGGAGGTGTTTGGGTTTTGTTCGTTTATCCAGAATCGACCTTATTGTTTATTTATGTTTGGATTTTGATCTAATTTTTTTTTGTTTTTTTTTGTGTGGATCTCGCAGGCTGCTAATTATCTGAACATCAAGAACCTTCTTGACCTAACATGCCAGACAGTGGCTGATATGATCAAAGGCAAAACTCCAGAAGAGATTCGCACGACCTTCAACATCAAAAACGACTTCACACCCGAGGAAGAAGAGGAGGTGCGCAGAGAGAATCAATGGGCTTTTGAATGAGCGTTTGTTCGAGGAAGGTGTCGAATCAAAAGAGCAACCATTTCTTCTTTATGTTATTGTCGTTCGTTTTCAGTGTCTATTGCCTCTGTTTTTTTTTTGTTTCTTTTGAAAAATTCATGAAGACTTGATCCTCCTCCTCGTGCTTTTTCTTTTTTTCTTTTGACAATTATGAACTAATGTTTGCTCTTTGTTGGATATTTGTGCTTTAGTGATGTTGGTTTGCCTTGCATAGATCTTATTCTTCTACTTCTGTTTTAATCTTCTCAACGGCATTATCCAGGATGGCTTCAATGGCCTTGGATCTTTCCAGTTTCATAAAACTCATCTCCCTAGTCTTCTCTGTTCCACTGATCTCGTTGATTGTTATAAGTTGATATAACCTTCGTTCGAACTAATTTGCACGATTCATTTTAGGAAAACCAAGAAAGTGGAATATAAAAATTAAGACTTGCTTGGAGAAAGAGGCGAAAAAAAGTACACGAATGTATTGACTTTGAAATGTTTTGGGTAAAAATATCTTCCAAATCAAATCTAAAGACTAACAGCGTTTGTGTGGCCACAAAAGAATCTGAAGGTAACAAGGATTATGACGACTTCACTCATTGAGTCACTGATTTACCAGAAGATAAGCACTGCACGCTTGAATGTGGAAAAACAGATCTAACTTCTTCAATTCAGGAAATGCTTATAATTTAGGATATTATCTAGCTTGTTTTCTAGGGCTTACTCCACGCTTTACAGGAGTACTTGTGCATCTTTATGTGTTCTTTACGGTTAACTCTATCAGAAACCCATTGATTTTACATTCTCATTGTCAGCATAGTCGTAGACCACCATCATATGATCTCCTTCGAACATTTAAATGCTTCAATTATCATCTAACGCTTCAATTATAACCAAATGCAGGAAACATTCACAGTTTCCGCATCCGCAAGTCTTGCTTGTCAAGCACTCAGTCATGGCGTCCTAAATCTTTAGTTAAACGTTTGTTGAACCAAAACCAAAAGGAACCGAGAGCTTAAGTTTATTTTTATGATTTATGTTTCTCTTCTTTTTTTTTTTTTTTGGGTTAGTTCTTCACTCTAGTATTGGTCATCGGTGTTGATGATTCTCTATCTCGATAGTATTGTTAGGCACTTCGTTGTTCGTCTCTTCCACACATCTTCGGATTCTGATGCGTCAAAGCTATTGGTTAGCGATTTATAGCTTCTAAGAAAAACTGCATCAGTGATCAGTTACTCATCACTAGTTATATTTGGGTTATGATTTCTACAAACTCCATGAGTTTAAGATTAGAATTCAAAGGTTTCGAGGTTGAGGCAGAGATTTATTGTGTCGCCGCATAAATATCTTAGCAACAAAGCAAAGGGACGTCTGTGATTGAGGTTCCTTAATCAAGAAAGTATCACTCTGTTTGAATTAAAAAAATATATATATATTATAAAATAATAAATAGCACAAAATCTCCGTTGCCGGGAATCGAACCCGGGTCTCCTGGGTGAAAGCCAGATATCCTAACCGCTGGACGACAACGGATTGATATTAGATTTCATCTTTATTCATTGTAATCATATATTTCTTTAAATGATAAGGCTTTGCATGGCCGTTGTGAACTATGGCAAACCCTTATTTGCTTAATCTGTTCGACTAAGATTTGGATAGAGCGGAAGATTTTTTTGGATAAGCTAACAAAACTTTTTAAAGTTGAAATATATATATATATATATACATACAAGGATGAGTATATCTCTTTATACTTCCCAAAGGAAAAAAAAACATCGCCATGTTTTCTAGGTGATATGATATATTAATAATTAGTCTGGTTCTATTTTATATTTTCCGTTACGATTTTCCCACCCCCTATACATAAGTGTATCTAAAACCCAATAGCATGTAAGAAAGAAAAGAAAGCTGTTTTATAACCATGAAAGACATAATATTTCGGACATCGATACCGTGGAAAAACGAAATAGATATATTACAAATTGTTATCTAGCGTTAATCGCTTATTCATTATTGCTAATGGTTTATCGAGCGAAATTATCCACCTCTCCCATCCATGACGTTTCCTTAACTTGCAACCCTACACAAAAATTAATTTAATATAAGAATTCTCTTAATATAATGTCAGTGTTTATTAATTCTCCAATTCCTGTGGCAAATTTTTTTATGTATAATCAGTACTAATCACACTAATCAGGAATTACCTCGACCTCAACGGTTGTTGATGATCTCAATGAACACAATATCAAATCAATATCATTGGTCATGCGTTTGATCTGGTTGCCAAAAAAAATTCGATATTAAAAACCCCTTATTTTTCAACATCAACCAAACTATTCCTATAATTTAAAAAAGAAAAAAAACTACTTACTCGATTAAATTCTGCAATGAAGAATATCAACCCATCCTTGCTCATCCATGCGAGATCTCAAGTAGTCATCTTTTACCAAATTTTCATCGCTGTATTACCAATCAATGAAATCATATCAAGAGAAATCCATAAAACCCACACAAAACAACTAAATTAAAAAGAAAAAAAAATATACTTTAATTACCTAAAATAATAATCAATTTGGAAGACGATTAAAGAAGATAGATTAGACCTTAATGCCAACCTCCTTAGTTCTGGAAGATGCGCTAAATCTGTAACTCACATAAGTTAATGAAAATTCTAGTTATAAACAATTTACTTATATAAAATATTAGTAGAAAAAGCTAATATCAACTTACCTAACACATGCGTGTAAAAAAACTGCGGAAGAGGAAACCATGGTTCGGAAGAAGACCGTGGTGGCAAATTATACATCACGGAGAAGGTTGAATTGCACTTGCTCGACTGTTCTTCAATTAAATCCGTAGGAAGTGAGGCAGAAGTTTGATTCTGATTTATGTCTCTTCTCCTACTGATCATTAGCAAGCCGTCAACGTAAAAATATGAAGAATCTGAATAAAAAGCTTCTCCTATAATAGTTTGGATAGAGTGTTTACGTTTGATTACAAGATGAATCAAAACGAATGAAATATCTAACATGGAGGGTTCATATAATGAACTACTATGATGTTATTCCTAGCCCATTTAGAATTTGGATATTTTTTTTTTTGGGGATCAGATTACAGTTTGGAATTTAGACGATGTCATTCGTCCACATTTTGGAATTAAAATTAGTTTTGACCATTTAAAAAATAAAGACAATTCACTTTCTAGAAATCTCCTCTACTCTGCTTTGGAGTTTGATTAAACTTTGACAAAAAAAACAACTTTCCTCTTATAAGTAACTAAGGCAGAGTTATGTGCAATAGAACTGCTGCTTGAATTATAGTTTTGAGTTTGAGTTAGATTATACTTTGAAATAAATAAAAAGAAAACTAACAGCTTCAAAACTATATATAGTGATTATCTGTTTTTCGGTACATTGAAAAAGTTTCATGCAGAATATCATAAACTAAAACGATCTTTGCTTCCAAAATTGTTGTCAGCCAAAACACAACACACCAGCTTTACGAATATTGTAGAACAAGACAGCCATAAACCTTCAATATAATCTGACTTAAGCTTTATCATCAGCTTCAGAGCAAACACGGTTTCCAAAGAAATCAACCGTGGTTTCGGCAAACTGTCTCATAGAGACACTTCTTTCTTTTCTTTATATTCCTCCAAGGTTATTAGTGATTCCTTGTTTTTGGTCCAATCTGCAGGTCTTGGCATGATTATCGCAATATAGCCTTCGCGATCAGCCTGAATTTAGAAATTTTCATAAAACAGATTAATCAAAATACGGAGCATCATCAGCTATATCAAAACTCATATATAAAAGCAAAGCGAAGTTGATCAATTTGTTTGAACTGTTTAGTGCCGGTTGATTCCATAAGCTGATGATAATAGAGATTCATAGCACAAAGCATTCGATTTTCATAGGTTCATAAATCTAACAAGACAAACTGACAAAGTTTGAATTCCATATTTTTCTTGTATGTTTTACCGATGAATTAAGAAGCTGTGGTTGCTTGATTAATCTCTCGTTCACCTCCAAGAGAGAGCCTTTAACGCAACACCTAGCAAAAAACCAACACAGAACCCAAACAAAAAAAACTTCAATCTTCGACAAATGAGAAACATAGGACAGAGAAATTTGAAACCGGAAAAAAGCTTTGCACCTCACAATATAAGAATCATTTGCAGTAGAAACTTTGCACAATGCTGTATTCGATTCAGAGCGCATAGCATTCTGCACAAGAACAGCATTTGAATACACAACAATTTCGAACCGCAACTTCAAGCTACAACAACTGGTAAAAGTCTTTAAGACTGAGTGAAAGCAAGAAAAAAATAGTGAAAAGAAAGAGAAAGCAACCTTTTTACGCTTGCCGGAGACTTTCAAGACGCTACGATCAGACTTACCAACATTGAAATCGATGTTGGTGATCCCACCTTCGTCCTTAAAAGCTATATGCGTAGGAGCCAATCCAATTACACACAAACTTCACAAACAAACACACAAAGTAAGAAAACCCAAAATCTCACTATTTCAAAGAGGGCTTCAGCAAAGACAATAACAAGAAGATAAATGAAACAGCAAAAAAAAAAAGGAACAACATTTGGCATACCCATTGGCGTGACGGTAGATATACTGATCATGACCCGATTTCGTAAAATCTGCAACCGATGAAAACAAAAAAAAGTTTTGAAAAGGGTTTATTGACACTATCAAAAGGGGTTTTTGAAAAACAGTAGCTGAATCTGAGAACCTGTGATGAAGTAAGAAACGAAATTGACTTGTGTAGCTGATGGAGGAGAAAGCGGAAGATCTCCGATATCTGAAAGCAGCAGATTTCGCAATTCGTCTTCGTCTTCATCTCGTTTTTTCTCATCTTCTTCGGCTTGCTGCTGCTGCTGTTGCTCGTCGCAGTGTTCTAATTCTTCGGATTGCTTTTGCTTAGTTAATTCGACTATATCCTCGATTTCTGGATTCTTCGCAGCCTCATCAGTCTTATGAATCTCCATTCCTTCTTCGATAGTTTCAAACAGCGTAAGAATACAGAAGAAATCGTTTTCTTCTCAGCTTCGAATTTTTAACCTTCCGACGGCGATAAGTAATCGGACTTACTTTGCCGATCATGAATTAGTTTATCTTTTAGATCTACAAAGGCAAAGGCCCATTTAGATTCTAAAAAGGTAAAGGCCCATTTCGATTCCACAAAGGTTTGAAACTTTGAATCGTCGTTCTATATGAACTACACTCAGTATCAGTATCACCATATGAACTAGATGAGCTCTCAAAATTTAAAAATCGCAATGAAGAAGACTTTTAAAAAAGTTTAAAGTTTTTGTTTATCAAAGATTAAAGGAACTGATGTGCACAATAACAAACATAAAAAAAGTCAGATATTTCGAAATAACAGAAGTGTTTAACAGATAAAAGAGACAGCAGTAGAATCTAGAAATCGTCATCATCTTCCTCAGCCATGTATTTAGCGAGCTCCTCTTCTTGCTGTTTCTTCTCCCTCCTTTTCTCGTCACTCTCTTTCTCCCTATGTGTGTTTGGCGGGAACCTCAACGCTCTGACGGCTTCGTTGTGCATATTCAAACAGAAGGCAATCCTCGAGTTAAACGCAGTCTGGGGTTCGTTAGTCGAGTAGATGTCTCCTGTTTCCTTGGAGACCATACAGCTGTTCTTGTGGTCGATGGTCGCGTCGATTGCTCCGTCTCTTATGGCTTTAGCCACTATGCTCTCTGCATCTGCCACTGGGTTTTCAGAGTTTAGCCTTAGCTTTTGGGCAACGTCTGTTAGAGAGATTCTTGAGTAGGAGATGCTGATGTTCCGCAGTCCTGTCCTGATCACGTTGTGTCGGAGTCTGACTATGAGGTTGTGAGTCCTGTCCTCGGAAAATGTTTTTGCAAACCTCTCTTGAACGTTCCTGAACAGCTCCAAGTCACCAATCCTCACAGCCTGTCAATATTCAAACAAATCATCAATATGAGATTGAGATACTCATGTCAGAATCAACATTTTGTTGCATCATCAAGCTACATGTCCTGTTTCATATTCTATTTTAAGAAATTTTGGAATGTGTCACAGATTCAAGAATTTCAAAGGTTAACTCACATTGGTCAGCTCGAAGTATGGCCTAAGAGGCTTCTCCATACCCTTCTGAGTGAAGATCGATCTCTCTGGAATTTCGCCCAAAAGTAGTCGAACTAAGATAGCCCACTTGTTGCATTGGATTCTAAAGCCTAGAGCAGCGACAGGTGCTTTTCTAGCAGCCTGAAGGAGGCTCTCTTTCGCATCGGTGTATTCTAGCTGGATTGTCCGGATCTTACCGAGATAATACAAATACCTACAAAACTGTAAAAAAATAGTGTGAGATGTGTCTCCTCTACCCAGAGAAAATATATGCTTTATCACAATTCGAAGATCTGGAGGTCTAAGAAAACAGGAGAATGTACAGACGAAGCAAAGAAAAGAAACGCAAGGCAGATTTAAGAAATAGCGGGGGAGCAACACACCGCACGCCTAGCAGCAGATGTATGAGTGCAAAAGGATTGTATATGAACCGAACTTAGAAGAAGTTTAACTGATGAAATTTACCATAAGAACGCCATCAGAGAAATGATATAAACGATAATCTAGAGAGCCACAAGGCATAACTGAAAGGTACCTGTTGGTTAGAATGTGCTTCAAATCGAGGTGCTTTTGATCTTAGCTTCTCTGCTTGGTCATACAGGTTGTAGTGTAGGTAGTTGCGAAGCAACAGGTTCAGAAGTGTCTCCTGCATTCAGAAAAATAATTTGAATAATCAAAGCAAAAACTTTCATAAAGAAATGAATGTTTTGTATCATTTGTAAACCACACACCTGACCCAACTCATCATGGCGCAGTGTTGCAGAATGGTGCAAGGCAAGAAGGGTCCTGCAAGCAGAAACAAGACAATCAGATAATTGATACATAATCTATGAGGAAAGGAAGATATAACGAAAACAAAACTGTGTGAGGAAGGGAAGATATATGCGAACTACTCACTCTCGTATCTCCGCAAGATCACCTGTTAGCTCGTAGCTTAAGGAATAGTAAAAGTATAACTTGGAGGCTATCACATCAATGGTTCTCCTGTTTACACTCTTGAGGCGAGCAATACTTGCTGAAGAGCAAGCTTTGGCCTGAAAGATAACAAAAGCAAAGCACATCTGGAATCAAGATCCGAGGAATATTAAATATAAACAAAGTATTTTAAGGGAAACCAAAGAGAGACAGAAGTAGTAACCTCGTTGTACTTTTTCTGATCAATCAGAAAAAGAAGGACAATAAAATAGCAGTAAATCTCGAGCTCAGCAGGTAAGTGCTTGGAAGAAGGAGCTTGAGAGTTCGATGATGCTGTGTCAACTTCCATGTCATGTTCATCACTCTGAACGATTAATATATAAACTATATACATCAGTATCTAAAGAAGCCTCGCGGGTATAATCATCAATGCATTATAATCGAAAATTTACAGATCCTAACAGGCAGAATTCAGAGCGAGAAAAAAGCAAAATTAGATGATTTATGAAGACGAAAAGTAAAGCCAGAAATACCTTGGGAACAAAAGAAGAAAGACGAGTGTGAGCTTCGGAACCAGGAACCAAAGCGAAATCAAGGAAAGAGGAGATCACGGAACTGGTGAGCTTCCGTCTTAGCCCCACGGTGAGACGCACAGCACGAGCAATACGACGGACTTCCTTGGTATACGACCCAGTATCGATCAGAGCTGCAATCTCCTTCAAATCTGGGACAAAAGACATTCCAATGTGTGAAACGATGAGCTACAAAATCGAATTGGGAACACAAGACAACCCTAAGACCGAGATTTACGCTGAAGCGTGGAGGTCGTAGCAGAAACGACGGATTGAGTTGGGGTCTGGTTATCTTTCATCTCCACGTCTTGAGTCATCTTTTCCACAAATCTCAATGTTCTTCACAAAGACAGATAAAATATGGAGAGTAAAGGGGCTTGCAGAACCGAGAGAGTAAATTATTGCCTTTTCTTATTCTTCAAGACAGAAGAATAACTTAACAAATTAATTGTTAGTTAAGTGCCAGAGTTATCAAAGTCGTTGTAGTATAGTGGTAAGTATTCCCGCCTGTCACGCGGGTGACCCGGGTTCGATCCCCGGCAACGGCGTACAATTTTTGCTTTTTACCTTAAACCTTAAAAATGATCAATCGCTTCTTACGACAGCGTTTAATATATGGGCTTCCATATTCTTGGACATAGTCATTCTTATTGTAGATCCTAAAAACTTTATATGCAAGAAGCTTCCGTCTGCTTCTCTGGTAATGAACGCGTTGCTTTAGTGTGTTAAAAATATCTCGTCACTTTTACTATTACAAAACATAAAAGAATTAAGTGCTTCGAAAAAGGATTGAAGTGCATAGCAAAAGAAGAAGACCAAAAAATCAAGTGTTCCATTCCATCACATTAGAAACTTATGAGCAAAGACAAAAACGAGAGAAGTTGGTCCAATATCTCTCACTCACCTAAACATAAACAAAACTACAAAACAATAAACAGAAGAGGTGAAATTAAAAAGAAAGAGAGAAAACCTCAGTAGTTCTCTAACAAAAACCCAAGACGACGACCCACCATTGATAAACATATTATATCCTAAAGCGACTATAGAAAAACAGCCACAAACCCAAAAAAAAAAAAAAACTGAAATAATGAAAGGGATACACTTATGGCAAACATGTCGTCTTGACCGACAGAAGCAAACATAGTGAGAAAGAGAGAGAGCAAGGAGATAGGAAAAAAAAAGATCCAACGACTTGGCTTTTTTTCTTCTTTTATGTTTGTGTAACAGAAACCTCACTCTCAAGCAGCTGCCTGGATCGGTGGTCCATCTGATCTGTTGTTGAATCCACCACCACGACCTCCTCCTCCTCTTCCACGACCTCCCCTTCCACGTCCACGCCCACGCCCTATATTAAACCAATTCAAAACTCATGGCTAATTCACTCAGATACAATTTAAGAACCAAATTACTTGGAGAGTTTTGATTATCGTTACCACGGCCCTGAGGAGGAGCATCATAACCACCACGGCCCTGATGGGGACCATCGTAACCACCACGTCCCTGAGGAGGACCATCGTAACCACCACGGCCCTGAGGAGGACCATTGTAACCACCACGGCCCTGAGGAGGACCATCGTAACCACCACGGTCATCATATCCACGGTGTTCATGAGGAGCATCGTAACCATAACCATAACCTCCATCTTGTGGTTCATCATACTCATTTGGAGGACCATTGTATCCTCCTCTTCCACGACCACGACTGCTGCGACCCCTCCCGCGACCTCTTCCTCTACCATACGACTGGTTGCGTTCCCAATCTCCATCTTCATACTCAACATTCACATATGCATTTCCTGCAGATAATAAACAAAACAAAGCTTCACATGATATACTTGAATCATATCTTCAAAATCTCTAGCTGAGATTTAGGAAGCGTGGCAATCTATAAATCGAAAATCCCTGAAGAAATCTTACCTCTGCCGCCTCGTCCCCTTCCTCTTCCTCTTCCCCTTCCTCGTCCTCTTCCCCTCCCTCTGCCACCAGGAGAACCCTCTGAAAAAAATATAAAAAAGAAATTTTATAAGACACCAGAGCAAGGGGTATTTTAAAAGGGTCATTGAGAGTGACCAATCTTACCTCCTCCTTCATAATCGATATCACCTAATGGTTTCACCATCTCAATAGGAATCGGGCACTGGTATCTGCAGTCATCATTTATATATAATTGTCAGTAGAAGAAGCCGACAATAAAATAAAATAAAAATACAGTAATGATGCCAGTCAAAAAGAGACCAATGCTTGAGACATAACGCATGTATCTAATTATGGTTAAGGACCACAAAACATAAGTCAGAAAGTTCAAAACAATAAACTCACCCAACAGAGGATGTATTAAGCTCTTTTGTGGATAGGGTAATGGTTATCATAGACACATGCCTTGTGGTCTCGATACTTCAAGACAAAACAAAAAGGAAAGAAATAAGCAACATTTTGTTCAGCTGACATAACAATAAAATAGAACTTGTTAAAAATCAGCTTCCTGCACAGTTAAAACCAATAATAAATACAAAGTTTTTTTGGCCACTTACGGAAGAAGGCCTTCCTCTAGAGGTTCCCATGTGTCTGTTATATCGGTGGATCCAATAGATGTGTTTTGATGAAGATCAGGGATCCTTCTCTGCAATACATATTGAAGAGAACATTTTCAGAAACTCATCATCTGAACCACGTTTCGTAATTGGACAGGACAAATCTAAAAAATTACCTTAATCAGCTCTACAATGTTCACAGTCTTGTTGATAGCCCTTCCCATTGCCTTGAATACAACTTCACTTGACCCTTTTTCCTATATAAACATAACAAAAGTCTGAATATAACTGTTCAACTGAATCAAAATCTCCAAACAGAAAACTTTAAAATTATCCGTAACCACATAGTAAATGACATCATTAATTACTAAAACAATCTGAGTATTTCTCTATCTGCCACATGATAAGAAACGGTGACTCATGGATAGTCTCAATCAGAACGCAAACTCAAGATAAGAACATTTCAAGTAGATCATGTACGAACAAGAAGCAAAAGCTTTGGAGAAGTTTAGTTAAAGTCGGAAAATGCCTCCACTTTCCAAAAGAAATAACATAAATGATGCAGGAACAAAATCTAGCTAGATTTCTTTTTTTTTTCTTTCTAAATAAATGTAAAGTATATATGACGCCTAGATTAAAAGTGGATTCAAAACTGCGTTTCTTAAACCTTACACCATATATCCCAACACACCATAACAAGGCTACAGGACTAAGAACTGGATTGACACATATCAGATTCATAGCGGAGGATACAGAATCAATAGGAAACGCAATACCTGAAGAAGAGTCATCGCATAGGTGATGTAGCTTCGTGTCCTGCCCAAACTAGTGATACGAATCTCGTTCGCATCAATCGGCGTCTGGTCTTTCGGCTTCTCCACTCGCTTATAGCTCTCCATCTTCAGGACACAAAAATCCCGCGGAAATAAACAAAATGAGAAGAATAAAATAGTAAGCTCCACAGAAATCAACCAAAATGGAATAAAACTAGGGTTTCTGACTTTTTAACAACACGAGGTTCCTTGTAGCAAACTCACACAAAACAAAAGAGATGATTAAAATCGGGATGTATTATCTTCAATTCATTATCACTTTGATACTTACCTTAAGCAGTTGCTCTGGTTAGATCCTTGGAGAAGATAGAAGATTCAGATAAAAACGAAAATGGTGGTTTTGCCCAGGAAGAGCCCTCTTTGTACGGCTTAGTATCTCTTCTTATACGCCCTAAGAGCCATTTGATGGAAGCACCTCTCTGATATATATCAGCCGCACCACTTCTCTTCCACACACACGTTGCACTACCCTAATCGGTTTCGGTTCGCGATTTTCCTGTAAACCGAAAAGAACCGAACCAAGATAAATCAAGCTGGACTGATAATTAACCCAGGCGAGTGTTTAAGAAAAAACCGTAGTCACCACCTAAAAAATTTAACATCCTCAGTCACTAGAACAAATTCTATAAACGATTACTGATCATTTGATTGTTCCCATCTGGTAATTAAGGATTCCGAACCGAATATATAACCGGGATAGATCCGACTTTAGGTTCACATGTATTTTTTCGGTTAAGCTGAGCCATATTCTTTTTTCTTGTGGGAATAAAATCCAAATTCTTGTAATAAAATCTTACAAAAGATTATCCAGTTGCACAAAATGCGAAGGAAAAAGTCTTACTGGCTTTTTCATTTTTAAAAAAATAAATAGTTTGATGAAAACCGAATCTACACGTTATTAATAGAAAGTTTCTGGATAATCGGTACTAAGTACTAACAATTAATAAAATAAGAAAAAGACAATTTTGTAGTATTATAATTTTCATATTTCGAGAACGTGTCTGTGCTATTTTTGCAGATATGTGTGTACTCTGTGCTTTTAAGCGAACTTTTCAATTATCTCTTATGTAAAAGTAAAAAAACATATTAAATACACATTGTCCATTCGACCGACCAATAAAAAAAAATACACATTGTCCTAACGTTTTTTGTAATGTAAGTTTAAAATATCCGTTATCAAAATAAAAACTGTAAAGCCTCAACTACAATCTGAGATGTTTAATAATTTAGGAGAAAAGAAAACTAATGTGTCTTTGAAACTTCAGTAAGAAAACATAATCTTAGCTAAAAGATCGAGACAGTGTAATTGTCGTGAGCAGTCGGCAAAACAAAAGAAACGTTGTTGTGAGTTGTGACCATCAAAAATTACAAAATAAACATATTGTTGGGAGTAGGAGTATTTATTTGGTGTTGAGTATTGACCCACCAAACGTGAGGAGCATTTAAGTATTTGGCTCAAACTAAAAATTTGGACCAATAGTGTGTAATTAATTAATGATGAAACGATGAAAAAAAACGAGTCAACCTTTTGCCTTTTTAAATTCGATACACAGCGAGTCATTTAACGAAGTAGACACTAGTAGTGGTGAACAAATCTCTTCACTAGAGGGACGAAAATACACAAAACTTCAGCCTTTTTCCGAGCTATATTGATTTATTTTATTTAAAGTAATGATAATGAATTATCTTATAAGCAAAAATTATACTGTTTTTTCTACAAAGAATCTTCTAAAAAAATTTCATCTATTTTGTAGTACCAAAGATATGAAAAATGTACTTTATGTTTGTAGATTCGGATGACGAAGCAACGATAAAGACAATTTATACCGTACTGTTTTCAAAACGATCAAAACGCATCGTTTCAGTTGACTTTTAAACAAATACCTCACGTCGTTTCCTGACGTCGTTATCACAAGACAGATGGAGTCCACGGAGGATTATTTTGGTTCACTATTTCAAAAGAAGAAGAAAAGGCCAGCGTTTAAAGATAACCGGGCTGGTTATATTTAAATAGAATGATGACTTTCCTTTTATTACGATGAACAACAGAGATTTTTGAGCAACTATATATATACATTACATTCCATTACATATAGTCCCATGACACAGCAAAAGCACTTAAGCTCGTCAAAGGAAGGAAATGAGGTTATCTTGCACCTCTACCTTGTGTGCTTGAACCAGAGGATCAATGATTTTTCTCCATCCTCCAAAATCTAAGGGAGAACCAGCATCAGCCAATACAAACCCATTAATGTAGAAGGTTGGTGTGCCATATACCCCTCTTGAAGCGCTATACTGCAACACATAACGCCACAAAAATATCAACTCAGAAGTTAGCATTGTTCGCTTACAGTTAATAATGAGAATAGCCACGTCTAATATTCGACACAATGGTTCACAAACCAATGACCCTTATCTTTCTATCTATTAGCCATTTTAGTTCATGGACTAGTGTAAGGTGCTGAAGAAGAGAAGAAGGTAAATAACCCAAAGAAGAAAGCTGAAGAAAATAACCTTGAAGGAAACCCTGGTCGCTCGGTCCGATTTTGTATCGCTGAAGCCGGATTTGAGGACAGATAGATACGAGTTTCCCAACGTGGCCGTTCCGAGCTTGATTATTTTGTCTACAACGGCAGGTCTTGATAGGAGTTGTGTTTGCGCGTTGTAGAACAATGCCTGTAACAAAAAGAAACAGTTTCAGTGAACCATACACACATTACATATCAACTTTTATTGGATATATGCATAACCAGTAGCTGGAGATAGATTCACGGAAACATTTTTCAGTAAGATTTTAGCTAAGCTTAATTTTATACAAGATACGATCACCCTTTTGTTTTCCCAACCTGCAATGCAAATTCTTACAATTAACATTGAACAAACCTGATGCTTGAAGAACCCTTCCAGCAAACTGAAGGTAGCATTAGCGTTTAGGGTGTTCACAATGTGCAAGGCCCGAGAAGTTACATATGCATTGTCATGGTAGCTGAAAAATCCAAAACCAAGAAAACCAAAAATGATTCATTACAAGTATCAATCTCAAATGAACCATTCACATTTTCATGAAGCAATCATTTTACTTGTCAATTGATTAGACACAGGACCTTTCCCGCGTTACTTGTCAATTGATTTTGATAATTAGAATCAATCAATACAGATATTAGGGTACTATGAAGTCACTGAAGAATTATTTCTCAGCCCAGATAAGAATTTCTGCCGATTTCAATTTCGGCATGGGGAAACAAATTAGAAAACAGAATAGCGAGAGAGAAATCGAGTACTGACGGTAAAGGAAGGAGGTGAAGGAGAAGGGAAACGCGAGATCCATAGTGTTCAAGAGCTTCCTTCAGTGGTGGCCAAGCGTCTCTACTGTCCGGGCATACCGGGTCGAAAAACGCCTCAATTAGTATAGTATCCGGGTCAACACGACGACCCGGTGGGTAAACGAAACCATCGCGCCTCGCCGGAGGCACTAGCTGCGCATGTACTTGCGTACCGACGACGACGACGAGGAACAGCAGAATCGTTCGAATCATTCTCTCGCTTAAGCTCTTTCCCTCTTCCCAGGATCGTATCGCCGGAGATTATTAAACCAGAGACGGTAAATGTAAGCAACGGCTACGATTGCTCGGAAGCTAAGCGAGACACACTCCTTTCATTCCCAACCGTTGATTCAATCTATGCTGACGTGGTAGAATCTCGCCGTGGCAACACGGCAAGTAAGCAAGGAAATTTTGGGTTAAGCAAGCAAACAATAATAAATTTTGGGTAAGCAAACAAGCAATAAGAAATTTTGGGTAGGTAAGCAAGCAATAAGTAATTTATTTGGTCTATGATAGTAAATACCTGTAAATAGGAGCCTGTCCGAATAAATAAAATAAAGTTACGATCTGAGAAAAGACAAAAACAAAAATAATAGAATTGAGATATGGTCCATCATGTTCACAGAGACGACGAACCCGCATAGTTGATTAGTTTACAGAAGAAACTCATAAACCATAATTCTCTCGCTCGAATCGAACCGTTCCAGGTATGCTTCTCGTTGATCAGATCTTCCTTTGCGATTCGATTGCGTCTCTTTCCTTCTCCCCAACTTCTTTCACTTTCACTGGATTTTCCCTATCCGAGTTTGTATGATTGGATTGAAATTTTCATTGATTTTTTCTTTCTTCTTTATAACGTTGTATTGTGAAACGCGTCGTTGATTGCTTTCAGGAGGGATTTTCGATTTTGGATTGACTCTGATCTGTGAAAATGGGGGCAAATGATATCGACATGGAAGAAGGGACTCTGGAGATCGGCATGGGTAAGTCACCGATCATGGATCACACAATATAGAGCTTCAGTTTTAGATCGTATCTATAGGCCGTGCGTTTGGAATTTGGTTGGAATTTTTAGTTTAATTAGCCATGTGATTGGGTTGATTCAAAAGTTACTTCTCCGAATCTCGTTTCTCTGGGGATTTATACTCCTATAAGACTGATCAATAATCTTTAAATTGCAGAGTACAGAACTGTTTCTGGTGTTGCTGGACCATTGGTCATTCTTGACAAAGTGAAGGTAAGAACATAATTTTTGATTATAGATGTTAATTTACTTTGCGAGGGAAACTAAACTGACTAACACTTTTTTATTGTATAATAAATCAGGGTCCAAAGTACCAGGAAATTGTTAATATTCGCTTAGGAGATGGATCAACGAGACGTGGTCAGGTTCTGGAAGTCGACGGGGAGAAAGCAGTTGTGCAGGTTTACGATTTTTTTCTTTTTTCATGTCACTTCGAACACTGAATTATAAATGAACACCAAATATATGAATCTAAATGTACATTGTATAGGTCACTTCACCGGTTACTTACTCGTCTAAGGGTTTCAGGTTTTTGAAGGAACATCTGGAATTGACAACAAGTTTACAACCGTGCAATTCACAGGAGAGGTAATTTTGGTTGATTTTTCTGCTTCCTGTTTATTATCTAACCTTTATATTTTGTAACTGGTGTGAGTGTGTGTGTTTTTTCAGGTTTTGAAGACACCTGTATCATTGGATATGCTTGGGCGCATTTTTAACGGTTCAGGAAAGCCTATTGATAATGGCCCTCCTATTTTGCCAGAGGCATACCTTGATATTTCAGGTCAGCTTCAAATGATATGATTGCTCCAGTGAGATCTTTGAAGCCATATGCTGTCTATGCGTGTGTGTTTAAAGTTTCAGTGTGTTATATTGATAGGAAGTTCAATTAACCCCAGTGAAAGAACCTATCCCGAAGAGATGATACAAACAGGGATTTCGACCATTGATGTCATGAATTCCATTGCTCGTGGACAGAAGATTCCGCTTTTCTCTGCTGCTGGTCTTCCTCATAATGAAATAGCTGCTCAGATTTGTCGTCAGGCTGGTCTTGTCAAGCGTTTGGAAAAGACTGTTGATCTACTTGAGGTAATTTGTTTTGCCCCAGTACCAACCACAAATTTGTCGTTTGTTTCTCTATAATCAGAAGAATCTCATGAAGAACTTGTATGAGTTGTAACTGTTTATACAAGTGTGCCAATGAGTTCGTGGCACATCTAAAAGCTTTCTTCAATTTGAAATGACCGTTGGCTACTAAGGAAACTCAATTTCTGTCAAAATTGAATGTTCTTGTTTGTAGACATTCCTCTTTAATATTGTCTGTCTAATAAAATCCTTGGTTTTTTACTTTTTTTCCTTGTGTGTGTGTTTTCCAGGATCATGGAGAGGACAATTTTGCGATTGTGTTTGCAGCTATGGGTGTGAACATGGAGACAGCTCAGTTCTTTAAGCGAGATTTCGAAGAAAATGGATCAATGGAGAGAGTTACCCTTTTCCTGAACTTGGTAAGTTTACTAGTTGTGGCCTCTAAAACTTATTGCCAGATCTCGCTGTTTTTACCTTCCATTATTCACAACAGGCCAATGACCCGACTATTGAGAGAATCATCACTCCTCGAATTGCCCTCACAACAGCAGAATATCTGGCTTATGAATGTGGGAAACACGTTCTTGTTATATTGACGGATATGAGTTCTTATGCTGATGCTCTTCGTGAGGTAAAGTGAAATTTTAATACCGGAGTAGGTCCTTTATACCATACCTGTGTTTTTCTTTTTTTTTTTATTGGTAATAGGATTGAGAAAGTGTAGGTTTCCGCTGCTCGAGAAGAAGTTCCCGGAAGACGTGGATATCCTGGTTATATGTACACTGATCTTGCAACTATTTATGAACGTGCTGGGCGTATTGAGGGAAGAAAAGGTTCCATCACCCAAATCCCAATCCTGACTATGCCCAATGACGGTACAAAAAAAAAAATTTCCCTAGAACAATTCTCAAATTCCTTTTTAACATTTGATTTCTTGAGCAACCCCAATACTTCTTGTTTATTTTTTAAAAATCAGATATCACGCATCCTACTCCGGATCTTACTGGTTACATTACTGAAGGTCAGATATATATCGATAGGCAACTTCACAACAGACAGGTAATTAAGCTCGCGAGACCCTGATATTACTGGTTCTTTTTATTATGATTGATCGCTGAATTAAATTTGTCTCTGTTTCTTCCTAAAAACAGATATATCCACCCATCAACGTGCTTCCATCTCTTTCTCGTTTGATGAAGGTTAGAAACTAACTCTCGTTGATTGATTAGTAATCATCACACACTCTCTCTAACTCGTATCACTCCTCGTTCTTTAGAGTGCTATTGGTGAGGGCATGACTCGCAAAGACCATTCTGATGTGTCGAACCAGCTGTATGCAAATTATGCAATCGGAAAAGATGTTCAAGCCATGAAAGCTGTTGTTGGAGAAGAAGCACTTTCTTCAGAGGATCTGCTATATTTAGAGTTCCTGGATAAGTTTGAGAGGAAGTTTGTGATGCAAGGAGCTTATGACACACGAAACATCTTCCAATCACTGGACTTAGCTTGGACATTGCTCCGTATCTTCCCGCGTGAGCTTCTTCACCGTATCCCTGCAAAGACTCTTGACCAATTCTACAGCCGCGACTCAACAACGAGTTAAAATCCGAATTCCTCTTGTTTTGTTTCGTTCTCTTCAGACAAGGTAATGGAGTTATCATATCGAAATTCTTTGAGGGAAAAAAAAACTGTGAATTTTGTGATGTATTGTTTTGTGTTTATATAGAGAGGGAAAAAAGGCTATATATGCCTCCAATCTGGTTTTATCTCTTTTTTTGTTTGTTCTGTTATTCAAAGTGGAAATAATCATCGATAAACGATGTCGTGTTACCTGCACTTTTATGTAAGATTATCTCACAATCTATTGTGATTTTTTCAGAAATAAGATTAAGGTAAGATAACACGACCAGAAATCACTAGGCTGTCCCTTGGTCATCTTTTAAGTTTTTTTAAGAAATAAGGTCAAATCATTTTGTGGCTGTAGAAGAAAGAAACAAAAATCAAGGTCACATTTGGATTAGAATATTGATTCATAGTAAAAATCTTAAAATGTTGTAGTTCGAATTCCAAACCTATGTATAAGTTACTAATTTTGTAGCCAATTAGGACAAATGCCGGATTTGTTATAATATCTGACATTATTGGAAATGTACGTAAACTCATTTAATAATAGTATGGACCAATCCATATTCCCCCCCCCCCAAAGATCCTGAATTTTTTAGAAATGTTATTGGTTGTGGAAAGCATTCATGATGACAAGATAAACCACCGGAAATAAAGGAATCAATGAGATAATTGACCTGAACCGAGATTTGTCCATTTTCCAATCAATGGCAATCTCCGTTATCTATCTATCTATACTCATCTTTCATCTTTCACATCTAACTCAAATTTGTTCCTCTAAAATAAAATAAAAAAATTTAAGTTTCCGCGTTGATTATTATTATATATTTTCTTATAAGGAAGACGAGAACCTATAGAGACCCATCCCAAGGGGACATTTGAAAGAAAAAATGATACCATAACCTTCCCAAAACGCAAAAGCAAAGCACCCCTCAAACTCCATTCAAGCCACCATTACGTTATAGATATTCATTTTGTGTATTCATATTCACTTTATTTACAAAAATCTTAGAATAAAAGGACGACAAAAACAAAACACGGAATAAGACAGAAGACTGTTCTACTTTGATCCCATGCTCAAAAACACCCATAAAGCGACCACAAACCAGAGAAACAAAAACATTCGAACCAAACATTTTTGCAAAATAAACATAATGGGATTTTGCTTCTCCAAATCACAAACCCATGAGATCCCAATCTCTTCATCTTCCGATTCTAGCCCTCGTCATCGCAACCAACCTCTCCCCAAACCGACGAATCCTCAAGGACAAGCCAGTAATTTCCCCACCAATCCTAAACCCAAACCGGCTCCTCGTCCTCGTCCTTCCTCCTCCGGTTCCCAAATCGGTCCAATCCTTAACCGGCCAATGATCGATCTCTCCGCTCTCTACGACCTCCACAAAGAACTCGGCCGTGGCCAATTCGGAATCACCTACCGTTGTACGGACAAATCCAACGGCCGAGAATACGCCTGCAAATCCATCTCTAAACGCAAACTCATCCGTCGAAAAGACATCGAAGACGTGAGGCGCGAAGTCATGATCCTACAACACCTCACTGGCCAACCAAACATCGTCGAGTTTCGAGGCGCCTACGAGGACAAAGACAATTTACACCTTGTCATGGAACTCTGTTCCGGAGGCGAGCTCTTTGATCGGATCATCAAAAGAGGGAGTTATTCTGAGAAAGAAGCTGCTAATATCTTCAGACAGATCGTTAATGTCGTTCATGTTTGTCATTTCATGGGAGTTGTTCATAGAGACTTGAAGCCTGAGAATTTCTTGCTTTCTAGTGCGGAAGAAGATTCTTCCATTAAAGCCACCGATTTTGGACTCTCTGTTTTCATCGAAGAAGGTAACATAACGAATATCCATCTTCTTGATGTTTCTTTTTCCCGTATTAATAAATCTTTCGAAAAAAAAATTCAAGGGTCTTGTTCAGAGATTTGTCTTTGTTACGTTGCGTGTGTTTAATACATAAACTAAATGCTTGAACTTGTGGTAGAATCAAGAAAAAAGATGGCGACATTGTATCTTCGTGTGGGATCAATCTAGTGCGACACCAAGTCAACTTGGAAAACGACTTGGGTCAGCCCAAGTCAAATGATGTTTCCCACAAGATTTAAAAACTATATAAAAAAAAAAAAAAATTGATCCAAAGAAGTGATTAGTACAAACAGAAGTGATTCAAACCAAAAATCAAAATACGTGTAACCCAGAGCTATTAAGATTTTTTTTTTTTTTAAAAAAAAAAGAAATTAGCTATAACTCTGGTTTTTCAATTTAAAATCCTTTCAAGTTCATATATATGTATTTTTGTAGGTAAAGTGTATAGAGATATAGTCGGTAGCGCATACTACGTAGCACCTGAAGTATTACGTCAAAACTATGGGAAAGAGATCGATGTATGGAGCGCTGGTGTCATGCTTTACATTCTTCTAAGCGGTGTTCCTCCATTTTGGGGTGGTATGTCAAAAAAAACAACTTTGAATCATCTAAAAGTCTATTATTATATACTCAATGTGAAGATTGTTGAAACATGAAAGATTTTGAACAAAAAGAAAACGGTACTATTTTAATGTTCGTTTTAGAGACCGAGAAGACAATATTTGAGGCTGTCTTAGAAGGAAAACTGGATCTTGAAAGTTCACCGTGGCCTACTATATCGGTAAGCGCAAAAGATTTGATAAGAAAGATGTTGGCAAGAGATCCTAAAAGACGGATTACAGCAGCTGAAGCACTTGGTATGTTTTTGCAAGTAATGTGTCTACATATTTTTTTTGTGTCTACATATTTTTCTACATATTCTTCCTCATAACTAACTAACTAGCTAAACGTTCTTTTATTGCGGTGGGAAAAACCAGAGCATCCATGGTTGACAGACAGCACAATTTCAGATAAACCAATCGATAGTGCTGTTCTTATTAGGATGAAGCAGTTCCGTGCAATGAACAAGCTCAAGAAACTTGCCTTGAAGGTAAACTACATGATTCTTCATCTCCAAGATGATTACAAGATTGATCGGCAAGAAGAAAAAAGCAGAATATTTCTGACATTGATCTTTTGAATTCTTTTTGTTGTTTTTTTTTTGTGTGTTTAAGGTGATAGCGGAAAATCTATCGGAAGAAGACATTAAGGGGTTAAAGCAAACGTTTAAGAATATGGATACAGATGGAAGTGGCACCATTACTTTTGATGAACTAAGAAACGGTTTACATCGCCTTGGATCTAACCTTACCGAATCTGAAATCAAACAACTCATGGACGCTGTATGACCAAAAAAAAAAAAATCCAATTGGTGTATAATCAAACTCTGCAAAGGAAATCATTAATTACTAAGCTGAGTTTTTTTTTGTTTTCATATATAGGCTGATGTGGACAAAAGCGGGACGATTGATTACATTGAGTTTATAACTGCTACAATGCATCGACATAGATTGGAGAAAGAAGAGCATTTGATAGAAGCTTTCAAATTCTTTGACAAAGACAGAAGCGGGTTTGTGATCTAATTTCTTATCTTGTCAGTGACAAGTTGTCACAACTATAATTAATTAAGACCAAACTGTCTTCTTATATGTCTTTATTTTATTTTTATTTTTTCAAAAAAAAAACAGATTCATCACAAGGGACGAACTTAAACATTCAATGACTCAGTATGGCATGGGTGATGATGCGACCATAGATGAAGTTATCAATGATGTCGATACCGACAACGTAAGATACATTTACTTTCGATGTCAATATACGATGATGATGATGATGATTATTAATAATAATGATAATGATGATTAATAGGATGGGAGAATAAACTACGAGGAATTTGTGGCCATGATGACCAAGGGAACTACAGATTCAGATGCGAAGCTGATCAGATGATATATTCAACTACAATTACGGATGCTTTACTTCTACTATAAATAAACTATAAACTAATAATAATAAACACGAATGAAATGAGAATCAATGCGTCCTTATGTTTGTTTCTTCTTTAGATGGTTAAAATGATTTGTTTACCTGCGTGAGTATATATGATTATAAGCAACGAAGTCCCCTAAAAACCCTTAAACGTCCGATCCTATAAATTTATAAAACCTTAAACGTCCTATCAATCTTGCAATAAACTTCAGTTAAGGTTTGACGGTGTTTAAACGGCCGTTTGACGGAGTGTTAACGGTTCGTTAATGAAAGTAACGTCGTCCAAAGACACGGTTGGTTTGTTTCATTTTGGTTTTTGAGCGAAGCCTAAAAGGCTAAAAAACCATAGAGCCAAACGGGATTTTGAAGGTGACGATGCTCTCAATCTCTCAGGTGCCGAGTTTCTCGTTAACCTCCGTAAAATCTCTTCGCTCTCCTTCTTCTTCTTCGTCATCTACTCTCTCTGTCTTCTTCTCATTCTTCCCTAAGGTTTCGAGATTCGTCAGAGCAAGTTCCGGAATCCCCAATTTGGCCGCCTGTAGTAAACCAGAGAGCATCCCGAGAGTCAATAACGCCGGCCTCAAACTCGAGGAGACAGTCGAAGCCGCCGTTAAAGCGAAGATTCGGCTTGATTCGTGGATCTCTTCTCGTGTCCATGGAGTTAGCCGAGCTCGCGTACAGTCCAGTATTCGTCTGGGGCTCGTCAGCGTCAATGGTCGGGTCGTTGATAAGGTTTGTCTTCTGGTTCGATTCTTCATTGTTTACTTTCTCTTCCTCTCAATTACGATTCTCTCTCTCTCTCTCTCTCTTCCAGGTTTCGCACAATGTAAAAGCTGGCGATGAGGTCAATTGTACGATATCAGAGCTTCAACCTTTGAAAGCTGAACCTGAAGACATACCATTGGATATAGTTTATGAAGATAAACACCTTCTCGTTGTTAACAAACCAGCTCACATGGTAATCGCAATTTTTCTTGATACTAAGCTTGTCTATTTGGAATCGCCATCAGGAGTAGAAATTGCCAGAAGTATGAATCTCTCTCTCTCTCTCTCTCTCTCTCTCTGATGTTTAGGTTGTTCATCCTGCGCCTGGAAATCCTACTGGTACACTTGTTAATGGCATACTTCACCATTGCAGCCTTCCCTGTGTTGCTTATTCAAACCCAGAAGATGATTCCGATGAAGAAACTTTGTCAGATGATGAAGAGATGACCTCTTCTAGTTCATTAGCTGCGTCTGTTCGTCCAGGTATTGTTCATAGGTTGGATAAAGGGACAAGCGGATTGCTCGTTGTAGCCAAGGTAATTTAGTGTTGTTTTTTCTTCTTCTTTTGGTGGCTGCTTTACGTACCACATTTCTTGCTTCTTCTGAGTTTAACGGAAAAGTGTTGTAATGGCAGGATGAACATTCTCACGCTCATTTAGCAGAACAGTTCAAGCTACACACAATTGAGAGAGTTTACATAAGTCTTACTTCTGGAGTTCCTTCTCCATCTCAGGGGCGTGTTGACATTCCAATTGGTCGTGATCCGAATAATCGGATCCGTATGGCTGCTATACCTGGATCATTAAGCCGTGGAAAGGCCCGCCATGCTGCTAGTAGGTGATGATGAGCAGTCTCCATAATCACTATGACACTGCATCTCTTCTTCAGAACTCTCATGAGAAGAGTCTATCAAGAGTTGTTAAGTGATACTGGAATCCTCATCTATCTTATCTTTTATGTTCTCTTTAGGTATAAAGTAATTGAAACACTTGCTGGAGGCGGCTCTGCATTGGTTGAGTGGAGACTGGAAACCGGTCGTACCCATCAGGTAGTCTCAATGGGAAACTCTCTCCATATGAAGGAAGAACTCAAAATCTATAAACTGTTTCTTTGTTGTTTCACATCTATGAATCTTCATCTATTTGATCCAGCTGCCTTGAAACTTGTGATCACTAAATTGCCTTTCTGTTCATCGTGGTTTGAAGTAGATACGCGCTCATGCTAAGTATATGGGAGTTCCTCTGTTGGGTGACGAAGTGTATGGTGGAACGAAAAGCGTGGCTCTTTCTCTTCTGCAGAGACGAGTCTCCCGCAGTGATCAAGAACAGATCCTCGAGCTGGTTTCCAGAATGGATAGGCCTTGCCTTCATGCTATAGTTCTGGGGTGAGAGAACTTGAATATCAATCTTATATTCTCGATTCAAAACTTAGGAGAAAGAACCAGTTAGTAACTGCGTTTTTTTTGTTTACTCTTGTGTTTTTTTCTACTTAGATTTGAACATCCGTGCACCGGGGAGGTTGTAAAGTTTTCATGTCCACCACCTTCAGATCTTGCAGAGATAGTAGGGCTGCTTCGTAGAAGCGGAAGAGAAAAAGTGACCCAACTCTCTGCTTTTTTTCTAACCTTCATGCCTTGGGAATTCTTGTTTTCGATACAAAGATGTTGGTTATGCTGAAACCTCCAAGTCTTGGTCTTGCTTTTTGCAGGTGGAATAATCTCTCGACGTCAGTGTTTTACTTCCTCAAACTCAATCCGTCGTCTCTGCTACGACCTCCACCCTGCAGCGTAAATCTTCATCTTATGCTTCAGCTTTGCTTAATTTCACAATGCTAGGGGGTTGGTTTGTGTTTAAATTTGGTCGCTCATCGTTTGACACATTGGAATGCCTTCTGTCCCAGGTTTGAAGGAGATTGCAGCTCTGATCGATACTGTGTCGTATACCAAAGGTGCGTCTCACCGTGCGGCTAAATACTTGAGGAAGAAAACGACGAATTCTAGAACCTTAAGTGAATATATATACTTTTTCCCATTTATGTAAATTCTGTAGACTTTCCGTGATGACATTAGTCTGAAGTTCAAGGTTAAAGAACAAACCAAAACCCAAACATGATAAAAAAGAGCCTCTTAAATCTGTTCAATCCTTTACATGTCAACAAACACAAATAAATCTTGATTAGAGGCGAGAAAGAAAACAAAAAAAGAAAGGGACAAGAATTCGGTCGGCATTTGAGTTTAAAACTTGAACATTCGTGTACATTTAATCACTCGAATCACAATTGATCGCTTCGTCGTTTTTGCTCAATCATCTCTCTTTGCTTCTCCGCGAGCTTATCTAAAGCAGACGAAACCGCGTCGCTTCCACCGATCAGCAGCCGCGTGATAACCTCTGGATCCGTCTCAAATCGCGCCGCCTCGAACTCTTTCCTAGCGTTCTCTCTCAGCACGTCTCTCCACAGGTTTCCCCTTGAATCCGTCCACATGTAGAACCGAGTCGCGCGGAATATGTCTCTGTACAAACTCAGCGCCTCCCTGCGCGTGCTCGTCAGGCGCCGCCTGTTCAGAAACTCGGCCTCATCGTCGTCGATTTTTGGTTTCTCTTTCTTCGCCAGGTGTCTATCGAGTAGCTCCTCCATGGTGTCTGGACCTTCGTGCAGGAACCGCTTCGTCGATAAAGCGTCGCTCCGAGCCATCAGATCTAGACGACCTGACAGATTCCGCCATTTCTGAAGCTTCCCAGCCATCGTCTCTCTCACAAAACCAACTACATTAGAGAAAATTTTCGTCTCCGAGTTAGAACAACATTTCCATTTAGCAAACTGAGCTCAAATGGCTTGTAAAGCTTACTGGGCTTATTCATACGGCTATATGGGCCCATTTGTAACCCAGATGATTGGAAGCCTGGAACATAAATCGCATACACTTCTAAAACGACGTTGATTAGATCAGATCAAATTTGACGTCAATTTTTCCATCAGGCTCCTCTACTTCTCCCTCTTAACCTCTTTTGTTTCCAACTATGACAGAGAGTTTTCATGAACCGACAGAATCTAACGATACAACTCTCGCACGTTCATATGCAGTCTTCCCATCAAGAGGACACACAACACATCAAGACGAAAGAACAATGTCAAATACATTATGTTTTAAAGCTAATTATGTGTTTAGTTTTTTTAAAGAGTCCTTTAACCGTCTTTGTAGCTTCTGCTTAAGATGAAGGTGATGCAATGCTAGACTCTTCAAACGAGAATCCTGATCAACTTTGTGCTCGAGCTCTTTCTTGTGTATCTTCTTCGTCTATCAATTGAACTAAATTCTTATTTTTAGCCCGAATCTGTGACAGACATTCAAGATCTTGACGTTCTTCCCAACAACATCACTTTGGTAGTTATCTTCTCTTGCAACAATTCATAAAGGGAACTCGTCTCATAACTGAGTACCCTCAAAAGATAATCATTTGTTTCGATTGTTTTTTTAATAAAAAGTACTCATTTGAGATATGAGAAACTCTATGGATGACTGGCAAGGAGAAGTTGTATACTCTAAAAATGAGTCACACAAATTCAGGGATGGGAGAAGATGAATCAGCTCTTTGTCGAAACTCTGTATCAATCAAACAGCTCGAGCACAAAGTTGACCAGACTTTCCATTTGGAGAGTGTAGCATTGCACAGTGAAGTTACTTGCCCGCATGGTAGCCATATCTTCAAACCAACTTTAATGGCCTTGCATGTCCAACATCTCATCGAGTCCTTTAATCCTCTCTAAACCTTCACTGATCAGATACCGAATCTTTTGTTTGTCGTTGCAGTCTCTGTTCTTTTCCATCTCTTGCCTAATAGTCCCCTTCAACTCCCCTACAGTTAAAAAACACAACACACTTGCAACATTAACACGAAATTCCCTTCATGGACTTTGATTTATGACTACAAAAACTGATGAAAACCATGTGTGGACTCTTCAAAGTCCCCAGCTATATATGAAATTCGATAATTTTCCTTCCTAGCATTCTAAGCAAAACCAACCCAAAACCATAGATTTCGATAAGGGGATCTTCTCGAGATCTTGAGATTTCCTCCATATCAATTAGATTCATGGTGAACACCACTGATGAGATAATCGTGTTCAGCCATTTGAATAAAATGAAAACACTGACCTCTAACATGAACAGGAGCTCTATGAGCTATCTTCAATGCTTGCCGGTAAAGTGTAAGCACTCGAGCCCGGAGAATAAAGCTCTGCAAATCTAAGGAATGAGCCATAATATTATATATCCACACCTGTTCAAAGTAAGAGAATTTACGCTGGAGAAGGATCGATTCAGAAATCTAAATCGAAATCCAAATCTAGGGCAAGTTCCCAAGTACGCTGTCTCAAGAGAACAATCAACGAAGAAGAAGATGGGAGGAGAAGAATGAGACACGTGAGAAGCACACGATGACTTAACAAAAGAAAGTGATTTACTTTTTTATGTCCGGGTTTTGGTTCAAGTTTCTTGGTTTTTGAGTCTATTGGATTTACTGTAGATTGGTTTGGCACGATTTTAGTGAAATTTAAGTTTTTGGGATTATGATGGGATCAGATTAGGTGAAGATGAATTATGAAGGATAAATGGTATTTGTATGTGTCTTTTCTCTAACCGTCTACTCCTAATCTATTTTTTTGTATCGGGCATAACTTTACTTGCATAAATAGTTTACATTTTGATTTATGATTACTTGATTAGCATGTCATTTTATATTGTGAATCGTAAAAACCAAAAAAAACTAGCAAGAAACGCACATATATGGAACTGTTACCACATAAGCAAAGAGTTCGATTGATTATTGAATGGTCCCAAGTACGGGAATCCCTCCTAAGTCCTAACCATCACAGTATTAACTTATATAGAAAACAAATAACAAATTTAATTAGGTAGCTATTTAAAACAACAACAACAACAACAAATTAGGTAGCTTATCATCGTGTTTGCATAAAACTTAGGAGTTTAAATTTTTAAATCAGTGGAGTAGATTGTAGACAGCTGTGCGTTTTCCATTATTTTGGTCTATTTCGTTTTTGTCACATTTTAAGCCTAATTAATAATCGCTTACTAGTCTGTTCGTGCCTCGATGGACTATTCGTCGATTTTTATATTTTTGGACCAAGGATTAATAATCTTCGACTAATCGCACGAAAGAGTAAACTATAAATATTAACTAATTCCTACCTGGGTTTACTACTTTAATAACTTCACACAGACACAATTACTGGAATGTGTCAATGTCCAAATTCAACTCCATCTTTGCTTTTTTTGTTGCTTCAAATGTTAATATTCATTATAATAAAAGTTGGTGTGTTACAAAGAAGTTCGACCTATATATTTGTTTCTTTGGCAAAAAAAAAAAAAACAAGAAAACAATGGAGTTGGGACAAAATAGTTTGTCTTCGTGGGAGCCAAAGGGCCATTAAGTTTCCAATACTCCATATTTGCTTGATTATGGTTTCTGAATTTAAAATAATGATAATTGAATCCATGGAAGATAACAGATATCAGACTGGATGGAATACATTTTTGTTTTCTTTCAGTTTGCTACAAATACAAGACTTTAATTCTGTGGGACATTTGTAAAAACTAGTTTCAACGACTTCAGTCACTTCAATGCATTGTTGTATGAGTTCTAACTTCTACCTTACCATATGCCTGAATTTTTTATTTTCATTTTTTTGCATGTGGATCCCAACTAATCAGTAATCACCACATTTTCAAAGTAATAATATTTTTTGGATTGTTAAGGCCCACATTAAAGTCAAATTAGTAATGAAAATAAATAATCGGCGTCGAGAAAAGGAAATTTTACTTTGCCCTTTAGCTGGTAACAAAAAAGATGAAACTAGCAACAAACAACATGCCTTAAACATTTGATTTTTGGGAAGTCGGCCGTATAAACACAAAGGTCTTCATCACTTTTTAGCTCACATTTGACCAAAACTCCTCCAATCCAGGCATCATCGTTGACTTTTTCAAACTTGTTTCCTCTCTTTTTCCTTCGTCGACATCAAATACAAATAACACCCTAGAAAAAAAAAACAAAACAAAAAAAAAAACCCCAGAATTTCCTATCTTCGGTGGTTTTGCTGTGAATCAATGGACAATAAACAGCATACTTCAACTTCAAAGCCAAAGAGCAAGAACAAGCTATTGAAGATGCTTCCCAAAGCGATGTCGTTTGGACATCGCGTACCACCGTTTAGTCCCGGAAGAGATCTCCACCACCACCACCACAACAACACGACGTCGTTCTCCAACAAAGCGTTTTTCTCCGGTCCTATGGTTCCTTTGGTTCCAAAAGCGGCTCGGGTTCGAAGAACCAAAACCGACACCGTTTGGGACGAACCCACTTCCCCTAAAGTCTCCTGCATCGGCCAGATCAAACGCGTTAAATCAAAACGCTGCTCTCCTAAGAAAAACAGAGCCGTTGCGTCGCTGATTCCCAAAATCCCCAAAACGTCGTCGTCGTCTTTAGCCAAAGAAGACGAAAAAGGTCGACTTTCCAAGATCAAGCGACTCTTCTCGTTCTCGGCGACCGGAAGAGGACACACATCTAGAAAATCTCATCCCTCTGCCGCCGGCGCCGCCGCGACTGAACATCCGGTCACGGTGGTTTCCACTACGGCGGTTCCTTCTTTAGGTCAGATGAAGAAATTCGCGAGTAGCCGAGATGCTTTAGGGGGATTTGATTGGATGGTTGAGATGAAAGAGGACGAAGAATCTCCGGCTGATCATCGCCGTGGTTACTATTCCGATGATGAGAGGAGAGGAGATTACATGAGAGACGACGATGAAGAAGAAGAAGACGACATCATTATCCCGTTTTCAGCTCCGTTGAGTTTGAAGCCGAAGCAAGAAGTTAACTTGTGGAAGCGTAGAACCATGGATCCACCTGAACCACTTCATCTTCAAACATCTTGATTATTTCCTTTTAAAAAGATACACTTTTTTTTTTAATCTTTCGATATATATAAAAATTACTGCAATTCAGATTACATAATGATCATCACACACAGTGAATCTGGATTTTGTATTGTGTGTATATGTTGAATGGTTGCTGATGATCACCATTTCCCTTCTCATTAGTTAGTCTTTGTGAATATTTATCTATTTCGGTTTAGTTTTGCTATATGCCAAATTAAATATCTCTCACTACATTCTTAATTACAGTTTACAGTTACAGATAAATTTTGTTTTTCTTGAGTGACAATGTGTATGACAACAACCAATGTCTTCCCATCACCCTTTTGTCCAGATATTAAATGTGAATATCAATGATTCTTTATGTAAAGGAATGATACGAGATCGTCATTGCGTAGGTACAAAATCAATTAACACATCTCATTCCCTTACCGAAAAACTCAAGTTCCTTCAAAATTTCCGTGCCTTCAAAGTTAAAACAGAGATCATACTCAAATCAAGAATCACACCTTTCTTTTTTTCGCGTTTTTCAATATTAACGGGTCTCGAATGGTACAAATAAAAACCCCCCCAAAAAATCATTTTTCTTTTTAATAAATCGAGGTTTTGATACAAATTAATAAGTGACACGAACGCCGGAGTACCGGAGAATCTCACCAATGAGTTCACCTTTACCGGAACCAACATACCGGCCACAAATGTCGCCGTCTCTGATGAACAAGAAAGTTGGGACTTCGATAACATTCATGTCCTTGAGAAACTCCATACAGCTATCGTTCTCGTCCCCGTTCATTCTAGCAAACACGACCGTCTCCGACATCGACCGGGACAGCTTCAGTACCGTCGGATAAACCTTTACGCAGGGGCCACAATGTTTCAGTCCCACGTCGAGCACGATCAGCTTTCCTCCGGTTCGGTTCTCGTCGATCAGCTTCTCCACGTCAGCTCGTCCGTGCAGCTGCACCACCGCCGAGTGGTTATCGCCGTAGTATAACACGTCTCCCATTAACTGGTCTGGTCCAATCCCTGCAATAAATAAAAAAAAAAAGTTCGAATTATTTGTACATAACTATTAGCAACCATTCTCTTACAAATCGTATTGAAGTACACGAAATTCGTATATGTTTCTAAACGTGATCGGTAAAACTAATTCAGTAATTCGTATAGTTGTGCAGTTATACTGATTTTTCCTTTTAAATTTCGTTATAGTTAGTGTTACGGCATCAACAAAATAACCAAATAAATAAGTAAAATAACCATAGTAAATCGTAGTCAACATGCTTGATCAATGACGAAGTGCGTTTTTTTATAATATTATACTCTCTCCGTTTGAGAGTGTGACATGTACAACTTTGTCCCTTATTAATACATTAAATGATTTGTTTTTATCTAGTAAATACATTAAATTAATAAAGTTAAAATTAGAATATTGTTTAAAATTTTGCATTGAAAATATAAAACGACACTCTTTGTAAAACCAAAATAATTTTTTGTGAAACAAAAATAAAACCCTAAAACAACACTCTTTGTAAAAGGGAAAGATTACATACTAATAATGTGCTAAAAAATTGGTGGAAGTTGAGAGATTATGTACTTTTTCCCTTAATTTGAGAGATTATGTACCTTTATTTATTTTTCCTTAGTTTGAGAGTTTTGTCCAACTAATCATGGGCAGGTCTGATTAAATAGAGTTATCTAAGTAACAAAAGGAATCGAGGGGGAAAATCGAAATCACCTTCTTCCTCGTGTATTTTCTCCATGCTCTTATAAAAGCTAAAGTGAGGAACTTTCTCGATCTTCTCTCTCCGACAGAGCTCTCTGGTCTTTTCTGACTCATCACCCATAATGAGCAAGAAAACGACATCGTTACAGGTCCTGCTCAGATCCACCATAAACGGATAAATCTTATTGCTCTGATCACTCTTACTCGTGGCAAACTCCGCAACTACAAGCTTGTTCTTCGCATTTTTAAGCGCCTCGTCGAATTCCTCTCCGCTATGAATCTTTTGAACTTTCTCGTCCTTTGCCGCCGGTGAACCCACCTTCCCCGGAGACGCCGCACCGGCCTTGACTTTCACGGCGGATAATCTTCTTCTCGATGGAATTCTTATCAAGCTCTGTTTCAGGAGCAGAGAGTTGGGTTTGGGGTCAAAGAATATAAAGGAGGAGGTCGAGGCACCGGCGGAGGATAGCCGTGGGACTACGGTGGCGATTGGTTTGGCTAAGAAGTTAGCGACGGTGGCCATTGTGGGAGTGTGTGTGGATTGGTTAGCAAAAAATCGGTGAATGGTCTAATGTGGATAGATGTTTTAAAAGGGTTTCGATAATTTGGGTCCACTTATTTTTATTGTGTGGCTCTCGTGTTCGCTTTCGTTTAGATTTTTTTCTTGTGTGGAATAAACGAATATGTGATTTTCTAGAGATTGCTGATCCTAAAAGCTATTGAAGTGATTTCGTTTAAGTTGTTTGCATAAAGACAAATATTTTGGAAATTCCCACCGCCAGCCAAGTAAGACTAATAAAACCGGTAGAATAAATTGGAGATTTTATTTTACGAAAGAATCCAATTGTATTTTCGATCCGGTAACTGCTGAAAAATGTATCCGCTCAAAAGACAGAAAATAAAAGCATCAGCTGTCAAAGTTTGGACATTTTCTCAGCTTCAACGCAAAGGTCCATTGACTGATAGCATGTATACGTGTATTACTGTTAATCGCTCGCACGAATCTAAAAATATTTCCCCTTCTGGTGGATGTGAGGCAGACTAATTAAACATGGGCCTTTAAGCCTGTCTTGTAAGAAAGCCCATTATAGTTTCAGCCCAGACTCTAGTTTACTAATTTTTTAGTCAATGCACAAAATTACTCATATCACTCTAATTGTTGAGAAAAAAAATAAAAATAAAAGCTATCGTTTTCTAGGGTAAGCCGGAGTGCGTGCGACCACGCTGCACCCACTACCGCAATGCGACAACACCATCAACCTAAAAAATCAATAATCAGTTTTGAATATATTAATTAGTATATATTGGACGGTTGACAGTAAAAATATATACGTATCGGACGGTCCACAATTTCCACGACCACTCACTAATAAAGTAACCCAATGTCGACACCTAAACACAACATTAATCTACCAAACTACCCCTTCTTTTTTAAAAGTAAACACAACACGTGGTAGCCCCGTGTTTACTCGCCGGCGGTACCCTCAGCAGATCTCTACCGTCCATTCTATTTGGATTTTAGAAGTTAAAACTAACTACTTTGTACTCCGATAGAATCGTCCAAATCGGAAGGGATTTATCCATTCATCACTTAACACCAAAAAATAAGAGTACACTGAACAAGAAAGTGATATTAAATCGACACGACAAATGATTCGTCAAGGGCCAAACAGGAAACTGAAAGAAGAAGCCAAAAACACAACAAAAAAATAAGGAAGAAGAAGAAGATTCTCATCATTCAGAAGCTTTCTCTGGTTTTCTACAGAGAATCATATGCATCGGCGTAAAGATTCCAGTCTCACCTCCTCTAGTCAAATAATCAGCAGTCTTAAACAACATCTCATGAACATCAACGGTTCCTTTAGGAGCGATCCCAATAGCAGAGAGAATCACAACCACAACATGATTCCTCCAATAAGCAAGACGACCCATCTTAAGCCGACTCCACCACGGTTTAGCCGGCGGTTTAGCCAAATCTTTCTCTTGCACAATCTCAAACCCGACTTTCCTCGCCGTCTCAGCGATATCAGAATATCTTCTTAGACCCGGAAGAGCATCTCCTCTCTCGATCCCTTGAATAACCTCCACGTGTTCTTCGTCTTCGTCTCTGTATTTATCAGTGGTGACCCATTCGTAAGAAACGTACATCGATCCCGGTTTAATCACTCGAAAGATCTCTGCGTAGACTTCTTCTAGCTTGGGAGCGTGACACGTGGCTTCGATCGAGTAAGCACCGTCGAACGTGTTCTCATCGAACGGCATCTGTAAAAAGTTACCGCAAACGACGTCGCATAGAGAGTCTAAACCTGCTTTCTTGTTGTGGAGCTTGGCTCGTTTCACTTGGTAGTCGTTGATTGTGATTCCGGTAACATGGGCCTTCGAATGGGCCGCGATGGCTCTCATGGGCCCACCGACTCCACACCCTGCGTCGAGGATCTTCTGTCCCGGTTTGACTTTGAGTAGATCGACGGCCATCTCTTCGTGGATCCGAGTTTGGTCTTTGTGGGATTTTCCGGGGAGAGAAGGAGAGAAGTGGAAAGATTGTCCCCATCCCCACTCGTAGATGTCGGTGACGAGGTTGTAGAAAGTGTCGACGAAGTCGGGGACTTTCTCGGCGGTTTCGATCTCTTTTGGTTTGCGGAAGAAGGACCAGTATTGGTTGTAGTTGTCTTTGACGTTCTCGGCGGAGATTGAGCCGCCGGAGAGATCTAAGGCTCGTTTGCCTTTTCTCTCTGCCGGACCTAAGACGCAGACGAACCAGTAGATGCCTCCGGCGACGAGAGCGGCGGTGCAGTAGAGCGCCACCGAGTCCATCTTATTTTGTTTCAAGAGGGAAACAGAGAGAAAGGAAGGAGACAGAGAGAGAGAGAAAGAAAGAGAGACACGTTGAGTTTACGACTCTTTACTTCTAACGGGGTTTAATGGTTTTTATGTGCAAATATGTATCGAAGGAATATCCAGTTTAGAATCTTGATAATAAAATAATCAGTTTTGGGAAATATAAGATAAAAGAACTCCTATGGTCTATACTACTGTCTATATAAATTTAATTGTCTGCACCATCTAACCATTGAGTACAATTTCACTAATTTCAAAAAAAAAAAAAAAAAATCTGTTATAATAAAAATGATAACCATTACGATGAATTGATTTGTCGATAAGGTTAAAAAAAAGGAAAACAAATTATGCCAGATGTTAGTATTGATTAATTGATTTGTAAAAGTAGTTTTCTAATGTTTCTTCTTATGTCTATATATACATAATACATGTAGGTCTTCTTTTCTTTTTATGTCTTCTGTGATCTTCATTCAAGCTTACAAGCATTTTACTGCACGTTGTAGGGTCAGGCCAGCTCTATGGAAAAAGTCTCCGTACAATAAAGCTTCATCGTTATACTTATACGGTTATACCTGGTCCAGGATCCGTGAGCGCATAACAATAATTAATTACTATTAGCTAATCCACGGAATATCAAATTACTGTTATAATTAAATAAAATGATTTTGGTAGATCGGTCATAGCACATGACTCATATGATCGTATCATAATCACATGACGATGTGTTATATAATCTGTCTGTATGTCAAGACGAATCTTTTAATCGCTCGATATTACAGCTTTGGTTTACATAGCTCACGTGCTCTTCTTGCGCATAAGAGATATTAAATGTATTAATGATGACAAGTTCGTTATACTGGCCCAATTTTATCATATTTTACGAACCCGATATTATTTTTTTCAAATTATTCCAACTGTATATCATATAATGCACAGATGACATCGATCTCCAGCTGTTATATTCGACCTGGAAAAATGATTGAAGCTCGTCGAAATCATGATTGATAACATCTTATAAAAAATTGATACACAGGTAAGAGTGATGATGATTACAAGTATGTTTTCACTGTATCTTTCTCTAAAACACTAAATGTGACAACTGTCGAGAGTTTTTCTTCTTTTTTTTTAGTTTCTCGCATTAGTAATGTAAATATTCATATGATTTGTTAGACTCTAAACGCCACCAGCCTTGATCACGATCAGAGAAATTTGGGTTAGCAAAATGCCTTAGAAGCAGACCTTCTCATCGAAAAGGAGAGTTTGGTTTCCGTATATATATATGACACGGAACTAGGATTAATGTAAAACCAACCTCAACAATGACCGTGAGTTTAAATGTACATAAGAATTAATACCAATCGATATAGCTTTTTGTTTGTTTACATGAAACAAACCAGTAACTCTAGACAAATAACATTATATAATTCAACGCTTTCTTCCAATTAGATATTCTATATCGATTGTGACTAAGCTTCTACTCGGATCAGAATCTCTCCGACAATTTAATTGACGGTGAGTTTGCCGACCATACCAGCACCTTGATGCGGAACACAATAGAAACTGTAAGAGCCAGGCTCTGTCAAAGTAACCTCGTACGTCTCTCCCGGACCATTAAGAAGAGCTTGCTCGTCCATGGAGATCTTGCTCGCGTCTACACCACTCGGTATCTCGTCTTCGTCGAACACCACGTTGTGTGGGAACCCTGCGTTGTTCTTGAACACGATTTTCTCTCCTTTAGCCACCGTGAATTCCTTTGGTTCAAAAACAAGACCACCGTCGTCTGATCCTAGAAGAACCTCAATGGCCATCGCATTCCCGGCCAAAGCGATGGAAGCTGCCGTTGCCACGGCGATGACCCCGAAATCTTTGAGAGAAGACTTTACGGCGAGCTTAGGCAACTTTGCGGTGGCGGCGGAAACCGTCGTGGATTTGGAGCTGAAAGCGAGCTTGAGTCCGGTGAATGTAGGGATCGCGACGGTAGCTGATGTTGTAACCGAGGCCATTTTTGAAATTTTGTTTTATTGGTGTTTTGGTAGTTTCTTTTAATTACTAGAAAGAAGAAATGAAAATATGGGAGTTGATGAGATTTATAGAGAAAACTTTGGATTTTCTTTGCCAAAAGGATTGTGAGCAAGAGAAGTAAAGAACAGAGGGTTTTGTGAGGTTTATGTGGTGAGAGAGAATTAGATAGTTATTTTATCTGCATGGAAATGCTGTGATTGGCTATCTTAGATGTTTGGGTGGGACGTGTCAAAGTTGGATAAATTTCGTTAAGTGAGATATTGGATAAGCTTAGGAGACTTTGAATATTCCGGGAGTTCTCATTCGTTGACTTGGGGACCAAAATCAATTTGGAGTTTTCCAGTGCCGTGGAGTTAAGAGAGATGAAAAGAGTTCAATCAGTGTTTAGTGTTTACTAATCAGTTGATACCAAATTTACAGATAGAAGATTTATTAGGATCAACAGCATTTATTTATAAGGTTGTTTAAGGATGAAAGAGATAATTATACAAATGGAGATATTTTATTTATATGAAACACTTACAAATTACAAGGAGAACACTCAAAGTTTTCTTTTAGACTCGGTAATTAGCTTGGTTTATGCAAACACCCAAACCTCTTATTTATAGTGATATAATTGATATTTATCTTAAGATTATTACATACGTGGATACCTAACTTAGAGTTATTGGATATATAACTTTCTCATCCATAAATATTTTACTTTTTTTTTAATTTAATATATGGATTATGATGTTTTACTTATTCAACATGTCCATCTTTATTTATTATTAATCGAATTGAAGCTATTAACATTTTTTCATTAGGAAATTTACAATCAATATTTTGTAGTAAAATCTATTTTCTTTTACTTTTTCAACGTTGTAGAATGTATCAAAAGCTTAGAAAGATGTTATCCAAACAGTTTTCCAGTTGCCGGGAAGGAGGAAACGCCCGGTAAAACATTAATCCGCAAAAGAGACGGCTAATCAATTATATTGTCAAGTCGATCTACCTTACAAATGGGCCTCACAGGGCCTAGTTTGTCAACGACAACTACAATAACGGGAAGTTAGAAAAGACGACGAAGCATCCGATTCTCTAAGAAAGAGACGACGAAGAACAACAATGACCTGCCGTTTAATATAAACCACCTAAAAAGCCCTGCCGTTTGTCTCCTCAGCAACCCTGAGCCTTAGCCTTTCTCTGTACTCGTTTAACTCCCTCTGATACCTCTCCTTGTCCTTTAATCCAATGTCCTGATAAACCTGCAAACAATTTACAAAAAAAAAACGGTTAAATAATCGGTTTACTATATATAACCTTTGATCCCAAACAACTTTCTAATCAGATCATTTGTTACCATTCGTTCCTCAGTTGAGAGATTACTCCACGACTCGCCGATGATTTTCGTAAACTCTCTTTCCTTGTTTGGATAAAGAGACTTGAGCTTGCAATGTTTCTCCGCAAAGAAAAAATTGTAACCGCTCCGGTTTGGTTTCGGGTAATTTGGGTCTTCTCTGCGTCTGCTTCTCCGTCTTCTACCCAAACGGCGACGTCTCCTCCCACTTTCCACATGAGGTGTTACGGCACCGTTTAGATCAGCGACTGGTGACGGTGGGCCGGGTTGGGCCGAGTGGTAAAGCACGCCATTAAGAATCTCCGAGCCCAACTTTACTTTTACCAGATAACCACAATCGAATTTGCCTTCTATTGTACCTATGGCTGTAAAACTCGAAGAACCTGTGCCATGCAATCATTAATCACCAAGTGCATACATTATCTTATAAAATTTCTTATATGTGAACCATATCTTATAGCTTCCGGTTTGATCCACGTCGTCGGTTTATTATCCAACAAAAGCCAAATAAATTTGCATCAAACATAATAACAGTGGGACCATTATGATTTAGATTATATATTTGAAAAGTATTGAGAAATTGAGATAAACACAAAGATTTTTGATAAGTACAGCAGGCTAACTAGACAATCATCAGACAATCATCATCCGAGTGCCCCTAGATATAAGTTACACTTCTATATAATTATCAACTAATTTCTTTAATGATTTTTTTTTTTCATAATGAAATACATCATATAAAAAGAAGAGTATCCTATGGTTGAGAATTTGTAACGAACCTTGACAATGTGGATGAGAATGATTATATCCTATGCTTGGAGGAGTATATTCAACGAGAGCCATTTCCTTGCTCGTTGAAGGATCCTTGACATGAAACGTAGCTGCGATAAAATTGACGTGTAAGACAAAAGAAGCACTTTAACCAAAAATAAAAAGACAAAAGAAGCACTTGTTGTTTCGTTTACATGTAACACAAATAATAGTCGCTAAATAATTTAGAGTTCCAAGATAATGATAATAACCATAGAGATAAAAATGACGAATCAAATCGGGTGAAACCAATCGTGAACTCCCACGTATGTCGTAAAAATGTGTCCCACGACCCATGACTTAGCACTTCGAATTTTATTTTTAATTATTTAAAGTTAATTTCAAGCTTTTAAGATTACTCAATGGTATACAAAAACGTGTAGTTTCGAGTCTTAAGGCATTAAAGACAACATCAAGAGAAGTCTACAGATTGGCATTTATCAAACAAGTTGAATTAAACAAATCTATGAGACCTAGTTCTTTGGAAATAAATAGAGAATATAGTGAAAATATAAACCTGTGGGATGAAGAAGAGGACCACGAGCATTGAAGAGATGAACTTGTTCGTAATGGAAAAGAAGATTGAGATAATGTTTCCTTAAGACAAAAGAAGCACTTGTTGTCGTCGGAGAGAATCTAAACACTCCTCCAACTTCCCTCCATTTTTTCTCTGTAACTACCTTTTGATTTACATGCATTTACAAAACAATATTTAAGACTGAGAGTAAATTACCATTAAAAAGAAATTTGAATTGAAAAAGAAACAATAGAGAAAAAAAAAAAAGAAACAATAGAGAAATAGAGTGTTGACCTTTTCGTAACCTCCCCTCCTCGTGACTTCCACATACAAAACATGCAAATCCAGTTCTTTTCCTCCAATCACAGGAATCCTTGAATAAATAGTTTTAAAACAACGTATATAAAACAAGAAAAAAATAACGATAAAAAAATACAAAAAGTAAGAGAAGAGGAAGAATAATGGTTACATGAATTTGGTGGCCAGAATGGAGTGAAACCGCCTAAGAGTATCCCAGAAGAGAGAAAGATCTTTAACGACATCTTCATGAGAAGCCAATGGTTTTGGGTACTCTTTAATCTTCGCCGGCGACGTCGCCGTCGTTTCTACCGTCGCCTGAGACGGCGTCGATTCGTTTCCCGAAGACATCGGGTTGGAGAGGAGAGACTAGAATATTTTTTTTGTGGGAGGGTTTGTTTTTGTTTTTTTGTCTGGTCTCTCTTTTTTGGTTTTGGTTTAAGGAAGAAGAGAAAGATAACCATTCAAGATAAGATTTGTGATTAAATCAGAAATAAATAGAAATATAAATTAAATTTTGTTAAGGATTAAAAAGTAACGGACGTGAGTATTTGTCATTTTCTTTCTTTTGTGATTTTAATATATACCACAAAAGAATGAAAGATATAAGGATATTAAAATTTGAAACTTTGAAGTTGTTTGTATACTTTGCTTTCAAAATTATTGTTTTTATTTTCGAGGCGTTTTGAATGATATTGCTACTAATATGTATATTAATTAATTACTTTTCACAGGTTATTAATTCTGATATTATTGCACCTCACCTACTTTAGATAGATGTTAAGATTACGAGCAGTCGGATATAGTCACATCTTTTTCTTTCCAAAGTAATCAATAATTTTTTTTAAAAAAAATCAATTTCTTTGCTAACTGTTGACATGAAAATACCAATAATTAAAATTTATAAAAATTAAAACATACCGTCATGCTTTTTTACCGTTTTTGACGGAAATTATACTTTTATTTTTTTGGGATAAAATGTGAGTATAACTTATACATTCGAAAATTCTTTCTAAAACCTCTGTATATTGTAATGATACAAATTAGGTGAAGAATTGAAACTCGTACGATTTTTGGGGCATTTAAAACCTCTGTAAATTGTAAATTTGTCACTGTTGAGTATTGACATGCATTGGTAAGCAAAAGTTATAAAGTAGTACTTATTAGTGCAGACGAAGATAGGAGTCACACCCTAAAACTCATCGGGTCAATCGAAGTCTGACATTTTATTTACCCTAAATACCAATTTATTATAATCAAAACTCAAAAGATAAATGATAAAAACAAATACTAAAAAGAAACAATAAAAAAAGTGATGGGCCTTATGGTTCGGAGAGGCTGACGTGCGATTAGGGATTTTATTGTTCTGCTCATATGTAACGTCACGTCTCAGCCTGTAGATTCGGTTCCACGTTTCTTCCTCTCAATCTTTCTCGTAATTTTTATTCTTTAAAGTTTAAACATTGTTCAAATAATTTTCTCCCATAAAGTAATCTTTAGATGATGATGACAGTGAAGGTCTTTGGCGTTGAACAGAACACCAAATCACCGTATTACCATTTTTAAATAAAACAATTTAGATTAGTACTATTACCGTAGAAGAAATTGTGAAAAACAATTAAAAGTTACAGGATTCGTGTTAATCACTGAGGAAAAATACTCAAGAGCACAAGCAATGTTGAACCTTCAATCTAACCCCAAGATGAGCTAAGCCAGAGTTATGGTCTCTAGGGAAGTCGTGACTTGAGAGTTTTCATCATTTTAGTTAGAAACTACGACTGGCTCTGTTGTGTCTTGGGTTTCATAGACCTTATAGACAAGAACTTGCTGTGTTATGTCCATGACTGCCATAATTTAGGTCAGGATAGTTTCTATAGTTCAAGGAATGCAACCAAAGAGCCACGGATCCATATTTTCTCTCGGCAGAGCCAATATGAGAATAGATGTACTTCAGTTTAAATGCTTCAGCTTCTTCCTTGTATGCTTCCATGGACACTTCCTCATGACTGTCTTCAAATTTTGTGTTATAAGACGTGAAGAAGCATTCATCGAGGTAGAGTCCAACTTCTGGTGCCATTGGTACAGTTATATTCACATCCCTGGTTACACAAGTTTACAAAATTAGAATCAAAACAGAACAAAACTATAGACATGCGAGCTTTAAACTGAAAACGTAAAAAGAACGAAATTGCTTACTTGCTGAAAGCAGTCTGGATTAGTGATTCAGGAGCACAGTTCCTCATGATTGCAACAGCAAGACCCATCATCTTCCGGATCTGATGAAGCATGAAGCTTTGGCCTATAACTTCACACTTGATGAAGTCAATCCCATCAAGGTTAATGACAGTTTTCGCAGTGAAGGAGATAATGCATCGCTTAGCAGCCGGGTCATCTGCTTTCATTCTTGTAGTGAAGTTGTGGAAATTATATGACCCAACATAGTAACTCAGTATTCTACTGAATCTCTCCTTCTCCTCGTCGCCATAGCAAAACTTACTCTTTGTCTCCTCAGCCATTTTAACTCCTTCACCGTTCATCTTCTCCGCAGATTCTTTTTTACAACCATCTTCATGTATCCTAGCTACTTGAACATCATCTACTAAGCTTAAGCTATTTTCTCTATTAGATAAGTCAAAACTCAAAGCTTCACTCTTCATCTCAGTTCCTAATTCACTAGATTCTGTATCAAAATTAGTGCTTTTGCAAATTGCGGCAACACCAGGGATCTTATTCTTACGACCTCTCTCTGAACACTCGAAACACTTTACATATTCCTCTCCCGAACCCAAACTAGCCATTACTGCTTCTCTATCACGATGCGAAACTGGATCAAGAGCAAACACTGGAATCAGATACACATACCTCCTCCGATCGCACATCTTCTTCGAGCTAAACGATCGGGATACACGCTTGTAGCCAAACACTGTGATCTGATCAGGGAGGTTGGAGTTGAGCCGATCCACGAATCCAGGCGGGTCAACGTAGAAGCGACCGGAAACAACTTGTCCCACAGCACTCACTCCTTTATCGGTCCGTGCAGATCGTGCGAAATCGTATAGTTTTGGCTTTCCTCTTTCAGACTCTGATACAGCTCCGGCATGGAACAGGGCTTCTTCGAGCTCTCCTTCAATGGTTTTCGCGCCCGGATTCCTCTGCATCCCTTTGTATCCTACACCGCAAAACGCGAAAATAATGGCGACTTTTCTGCGTTTGTATTTCGGTATTCGAGGCTCCGTGCCGTCTCCGCCGCAGGACAAGTCTGTTTCGTCGTCGGTGGTGGTGGTAGACATTTTTCCCAGACTTTCTCTGCTGCATCCAATTCCACACCAAAGTCAAAACCCTAGACGACGACCGATGTCAAGGTGTCAACGACGCCGTTTTAGCCTCAAACCCCTCTAACCGGGCCTTTAACTTTCTCTTAGATATGATGAGATTTCATCTGAAGCCCAAGAGATACTCCATATCTCTATTAGCGGGAATTCGGGACCATACAATTTCACATTCCTGTGTGTTTATCATATGCTTGATCGTGCTAAATTCCAGCATTAATTATTGTATTTGCAGAGTGAATTTTGGGAGTTTTTATGAACTTAGCAATTTAGCCTATTCACTATTTCCAATCTCTGAAATTAAGCTAGTTCACTCTGCAAATACAGAATGATAGACCAATGAATTACAGTTTCCCAATGAAAAGAGCAATAACATTATTCAGGATAATTATAAACATTAAAATTCTATTTTAAAGTGATTAATGTAGTGATTTGGATGAGCTAATTAGAATGATCCAGCTAATTTGATTGAACGAGTTGTTATTAGTCTGGGTATTATGAATGAAAATATAGTCTGTGATAAACATGAATCATGAATGGCTCCTTCTTAAGCCGTGGAATTAACACGATTTCTCATCAGAATTATAACCATACACGATGAGTACTAGGAATCCTTTTTGGTCTCTCTCAGGTTTTGTTATATTCATCCAACTATGATCTGGTGGTGGATTCAGTTCGCATTTGCAATCTTGCATCAGAGAACAGTATATTGAGTGGAGTGTGGTCGAAATGTTTTCTATTTTATAATGTAATAAAGCTGTGAGTTTGATTTCTAAATGCACAGCTTTTTGTTAATTAATTGCTTGCTTGCTTCACGAAGGAAACACTTTTGAAATAAAATTTACACGTACACACAGCAAAGACAAAAGGACAAAAAATATATGTAAAAAAAAAAAACACTAAAAAAGACGTCCCTCTCTCTCTCTCTCTCTCTGTGTGTGTCTGAATATCCCTTGCTTTATGTATCGCTCTTCTTAAATCTTAGAACTTTAACAGCTTACTGATTCATTCAAGATGAGCAGCGACGGAGAATTTGGTCGCATCCGGTGGCTGCTAGGTTTCGGTTTCTTCGTTCAAGGATTTAGGGGCTTCCCGTGGCTGGGAGCCAATTTCTTCCTCACCGATGAGCTCCGTGTCAACCCTTCAGTGTTGCAACTTCTCCAGAACTCGGCGAATCTTCCAATGGTTGCTAAACCCATCTACGGTATCGTTTCCGACGCTGTCTACTTCTTTGGCCAGCATCGAATCCCTTACATCGCATTTGGAGGTATGCATACGACCCCAATCAGAGTTTTTAATATAATTGTTTGGACTCTGTAAATTGAGGAAAGTGGTTTCCTTTAGGTTCTTTGACGTGATCTGAGCCTTTGATTTAGTATATTGTATTAGCAGAAGATCAATAGCTGACTTAGCGAGTTGATTGAGTTTTGATCGAGGAAAATGGCCTCTCTCTTGTGGCAATGTAACTCATTGATTTGGAAATGTGATTCAGAGTTGATTGAGAAAAACATTGGTTTCTCTGGAAATCGGTGTATTCTTGTGGCAATGGATCTTCCTAGTTTGGAATTGCGAACCAGAGTTGGTTGAGAGAATTAGCATTCAGGTGTTGGATTCTGTAGTTTGTTCCTTGCTTCTCTATATTCTTTGCCGTGCTTTGATTTGGAAAATTGTGAACTAGAATTGGTTGAGAGTTGATTGTATTTCATTTGTTAGTGATTTTAATAGTTACCTGTTTCTCTGTAAATCTTGCTTACCTCTCACTTTTATTTTTCTAATTGCAGCCTTGCTACAAGCAATCTCATGGCTTGCTATAGCTTTCTTGTCAAGATCAAATGTGTCAATCTTAGCCTTGTCACTCTATCTTCTCCTTAGTAATCTCGGTGCTTCGATAGTAGAAGTAGCAAACGATGCCATTGTTGCCGAGGCCGGAAAGCAAAACAACCCTTCATCATCATCACAAGTCTCTTCTTCTTCTTCTTCTTCTTCTTCATCTGGTGAGCTGCCTTCGTTTGTTTGGATGGCTGCTTCTCTTGGTGGAATCCTTGGAAACCTTTTAGGTGGTATTGCCATCAAAACGATTTCCGCTCAGTCAACATTCCTCGTGTTTGGCTTTCTTGCTCTTGTTCAGTTCTTTGTAACCATAAACATCCGAGAAAAGTCTCTTAATCTTCCTAAAAACCCATCACCCTCTGGTATCAGAAATCATCTCTCTGACCTTTCACGTGTGTTGAGGAAGCCCGAGATTTCTTACTCCATAGCCTGGATCGCTTTATCAACAGCTGTAGTTCCTGTCCTAACAGGGACAATGTTCTTTTACCAAACAAAGTTCTTGAAAATCGACGCGTCACTTGTAGGAATCTCCAAGGTGTTTGGTCAAATAGCATCGCTCTTGTGGGGCGTTGCGTACAACCGTTGGCTCAAATCCACACCTCCCAGGAAACTGATCACAGCCATTCAAGTAACGATTGCTGTTTTCGTGATATCTGATCTCTTGTTCGTGAAAGGCGTGTACCGGGATTTGGGTGTGCCGGACTCTGTATATGTAATCTTCTTCTCTGGAATCTTGGAAACTCTGTTTTATTTCAAGACTCTGCCTTTCACCGTCTTGATGACACGGCTATGTCCTCCTGGATGTGAAGGGTCTCTCATGGCGTTTGTCATGTCAGCCATTGCACTCGCCTTCATAGTTAGCGGATATCTTGGAATCGTTCTCGCATCATTCGTCGGCGTAACGGTGGATGATTTCTCGGGTTTTACTCGTGGACTCGCTATCGAAGCGATCTGCGTTGGAGTTCCTTTGGTCTTAACCTCGTGGATATACGATGAAACTGAAACAAAGGAGAAAGTTAAAAAGAAAGAATGAGTTGTTTGTGTATATAGATTTCTGTGTGACATTCTTTGTGGTCGGAGGTTTCTTAGTTTCTCATCGTTTACATAGTGGAACAGTCACTTTGATTTGGCTTCACACAAACCAAAATCTTGTCGATTGTAGAAGTATAGAGTACTTTGTGTATTTGTGACTATTTCATAGTGATTATACTCTACTGGTTTATGTTCATTTCATTGATTTTCTTAATTGTTTTATCATCTATGAGAGACAAATATATAATATTGAGAAAGTCTCAAAAATGATCACACAAGTTTGCAAATTTTGTCATCTGGGAAGGAAACAGAGAGAAGACAAATCGAAAGTATGGAACTTTCAAAACGCTCTTCAGTTCAGGTATAGCTTTTTGCTCGTGTGTATACAAATCTAGTCTCACATTTGTGACTGTGACGTCAAGTTCTCTACTTAAAGTTTCTCAGAGTCCACGCGTCTAGATTTTGCTATTCAGAGGACGAAAGAGAGAAAACGCAAACGTCGGCAATTATGGAGATTCATTCCTCGATTGAGTCCAAAAACTTTAAGAGATTTCAAAAGAAGAGGAGAAATTATCTCTTTCACTCAATTTATTTTTGTGGGGGATTCAACTTTTTTCAGAAAAGGTATTGTATTCTACAATTGGCTGATCTGTTAATCCGCGGAATCGAATCGTCACTTGGCTGTACTCCAATTTCTTTTCTTCCTCTTCATCGTCACCTTTTAAAAAGTTATTTTGTGTGTGGCCAAAATTGGTTTGACATTTGATTCTGATTCGTTTCCCTCTCTCTATATAAGCAGGGTTGTTTGTTAAGGCACTTGGTCGATCATCGCGCCGAAAACGCAGCACTAGCTTCTCTTCTCTTCCGTGGTACACTTGATTTTCTTGTTTTTCTTCAAATCTAGCGTTCTTCTGACTGTTTTGTCTATGATCTCGATCACAAGTTTATGTTTTGATGCATATCATCGCTCATTGTTTGATCTCTCTGAAATGGTATCATTCTGAATGCAGATTATTGCTAAATTCACCCCCTTTTTGGTCGATTTCAAGTGTTTGAGGTCTTGGGTTTTGCTGAGACTCTTGTTTCAAGATGGGCTACTATAACAATGTAAGTCCCATTTTATTCTCTTTACCACTCTATTTTGGAAATTGTGATTCTATCTTTTCTTTGTTCTAAAGCACGTTACTGTTGCAGGTCTTTGATGGATGCAATGACCAAACTGATATCGGTAATGCTCATAGCCTTAATCAAGAGTGATTTAAAGTTTTAGGATCAAGTCTTGATTTTTTTAAGTTTCTTTAATGTTGCAACTATTAAGTCTATTTATCCTTTATATCAGGTGGGGTTATACGCGATGGAAGGGAAGTCATTCTCCAGGTAAGCTCATCTTCTTTTTACTTCTTATAGCACATTTCTTTAACTAATATGTATCTTTCTTATCCAACAACACTTATCAACTGTTCAATCTTGGTTTGATTCGAAGAGAAATTTGGATTTTTTATATTTTTTTTAGGCTTATAACTGGGAATCTCATAAACATGATTGGTGGAAAAACTTAGACGGCAAAGTTCCCGACATCGCAAAATCTGGCTTTACCTCTGCATGGTTGCCACCACCATCTCAGTCCCTTGCACCAGAAGGTTAGAGGAAATTTGATACCGTTACAAAACAAGCTATTTTCATCTGATTTTTCTAAAACTGAAAAAAAAAAATCTTTACTATTGTTATTGTAAAATTGCAGGTTACCTTCCACAGGACCTTTATTCACTAAACTCAGCATATGGCTCTGAGCATCTATTGAAATCTTTGCTTCGTAAGATGAAACAGTACAAAGTTAGAGCTATGGCTGATATAGTCATCAATCATCGTGTTGGGACAACAAGAGGACACGGTGGAATGTACAACCGCTACGATGGAATCTCATTACCGTGGGATGAACACGCTGTTACTTCTTGTACCGGAGGACTGGTTAGTGATGGTTTAGTTACATGTTCTGGAATAATCATTTTATGTTCTGAAATCTCTAAAGAAGAGTTTTTTCACTTACAGGGTAGGCGCAGCACAGGGGATAACTTCAATGGAGTTCCAAATGTTGATCACACTCAACATTTTGTTAGGAAAGATCTAATCGGATGGCTTCGTTGGTTGCGTAACACTGTTGGGTTTCAGGATTTCCGTTTTGACTTTGCTAGAGGGTAAGTTTTCTCTATTAGCTGATTTCGTTTGTTTTGTTGGTGGAAGTTTCTTAATCTTTGGAATTTGAATCCAACTGGTGTAGTTATTCAGCACAATATGTGAAGGAGTATATAGGAGCAGCGAAACCTTTATTCTCAGTTGGAGAATTTTGGGATTCTTGCAAGTACAATGGCCATGGTCTAGACTATAATCAAGGTCTCCTTCTTCTTCTTCTTCTTAGTCTTCTTATACCGTTTGAAATGTTTTGATAATTGATTTCAGTCATACAGCTCTTTTTTTCCTAAACAGTCTGTTTTTTTTGTTTTTGTTCTCTTTGTAGATAGCCATAGACAGCGTATAATCAACTGGATCGATGCCACAGGACAGCTTTCAGCTGCATTTGACTTCACAACTAAAGGAATTCTGCAGGTATATACATAGTTTTCTTTCAGCACCATTGTATCCAATCTCAAATGCTCAAATAATCATTTTTTTTAATGATAATTATAGGAAGCTGTAAAGGGTCAGTTTTGGCGTTTAAGTGATCCTCAAGGAAAGCCACCGGGCGTAATGGGATGGTGGCCTTCAAGAGCTGTCACGTTTCTTGATAACCATGACACTGGCTCTACTCAGGTTACCTAACCTATTTCTCACAATTACATTTTCTTCAAAAAAAAAGCAAAAAAGAGTCCCATGTGTTTGCTTACTTTTCTATGGCTATTTTTTTGGTTGCTCTCATAGGCTCACTGGCCGTTCCCTTCACACCACGTCATGGAGGTAAAGGAGCTCTCCAAACAAATTCCAATCCATTTCCTTACATTTTAAGTTTGCACTGATCAAAGAAAGAACGGGCTTTGTGTCTTTGTAGGGCTATGCATATATACTTACTCATCCCGGCATCCCCTGTGTGTTCTACGACCACTTCTACGATTGGGGAAGCTCGATTCATGACCAGATTGTCAAACTGGTATTTTGTTCACTTCAATCTCTCTGATTATCATTGGATCCATGATCCGATTTTTCGACCTCTTCTATAACCTATCCTCTGCTTTTTTTGGTTTCTTATTTATTCATTGACAGATTGACATTAGGAGGCGACAAGATATCCACAGTAGGTCAACGGTCCGTGTTTTGGAAGCACGGGCTAACTTGTACGCAGCCGTTGTTGGTGAGAAACTGTGCATGAAGCTCGGAGACGCTTCTTGGTGCCCTTCTGGTAGAGACTGGACTTTAGCAACAAGTGGCCATCGCTATGCCGTTTGGCACAAGTAATCTTCTTGAAGACTGGACCTGATTCTCAAGCTTTTGCATAGAAACTTCCAAAATTTATGTCAAAGGTTGTGGGCTTTCGAGTGATATCTTTTCACTTTTATAGACCGGTTTTACTTTAATATGCAGCACTTACGTCTTCATGACGTAATATTTTACTAGTTAAGTATTATATGCATATGTATCATTTTGTAATGTGAGCGTTTTGTTGGCAAAGTAAAGAAAAAATTGGAGAAGTAAAGAAAAAAGGAGACTATTGGGAGAAAAGGGCTGTGCTTTTTCTATGAGAAGTTAGTTGACTTGTGCTGTGTTTCAAAAGCTAAGTGTCCAGATTGTAAAAATAATTTATACGAACTACAAAGCACACGATGTGGAAAATGCTAGGATTCGTTGGTAGGATAAATAATTTACTTACCATATAAAATTATCATTTATTAATTTTTAAAGCATGGTCTATGAAATGGTCAAAACTCAGAACCACAGAAGTGTATAAATATTTGTCCCAAATGGTATGAGAGTAAATTGAGTGAGTTATTGCTAGCCACTAGATAGGACTTGAGCATAGAGACATCTTATAAAGCAGATGATGATGTGTACATTATAATGGTAGTATTATAATTATATAGTCATAGGACTTCATGATTCTTGTTTTGAAATTTTAACAACCAAAGCCCAATTTCCTTTTTTAGTTTCAGCTTTCATATCTTATCGCTTGAGGTTCGACCTAACACCAACCCGGTCTTTTCCATCTTATTTTTCTTATACGGAGTATTAATTTGACTAGTTTTGTACTTTTTGTATGTTGTTTTAATCCTTTGTATATGAAATTTTTTGGGAACTGCATAAAGAACAGAATCGAATCAATCATGAACACCTCCTGGCTTCACGTGACATCTGTGTTGAAAGAACTTCTGTTCATAGAAGCTCTCCTGGATCTCTCCAGTTTTAAAATTATACTATTGTTTTCTTCTTATTTGTTTAATGCTAAATTGGTAATGGACTAAAATTGCTACGAGACGCATTGCTACTTTGGTATCGGTACACAAAATTTTCATCATTTATTTTTTGTGCTTTCAAAACAAACCCACGGAGAAATATATCCAAAATACAGAGAGAAATGCTGCAAATCGAAATCCAATGCTGGATAACTTTAAATTAATCTTTTTTTACACAATAGACGACATCAAATTAGGAAAAAAAAAACTTTTACTTTACAATAAAACCCAAATAACACCTAACTGCATCAACTGGTCCGATTCCACGGAATTTCTATTGATGCAAGTCAAGTTCGGGCTTCGTAGGGCGTTTGAGTCGTCTTTTATGACCTAAATGTATGAAACGTTGAATCTAGTGTAACTATCCATAACATATAGAAACGCATTGACTAAGATAAAATAAAATTATAAGAAAATGTAATAGAAAAATAAAACTCTAAGAAATCATATATCGACGGTTGCTCCTGTTTCTGTATATAAAGTACTACTCGCAATTATAGTTTGCCAACTATCTCTGCATTTTTCTTTTTTTTTTCTTTCTTTTGTTGCCTTTTTAGTAGCCTATGCACAGTTTAATTAGAGAAAACTAAATTAATGTATACTATTTTGTTCTTAGCAAAGAAAAATTAGTTTTCTCCACAAAAAAAACAAAGAAAATTGGTATTTACAGCATATTAACGAAATACGAGATCGTTTAAGCAATCATGCGGGGGGTGGGGGTAAAAAGCATCTGTCCATGCATCGAGCTCTGCGTTAATATATGATATAACATGCACTACTGATTAAAAAAAAAATTAAGAAAAAAACTACAATGAACGTAAGTAGCCTGAGAACAAAAATAAAGAGAAGCATGTAAAAATGAAATTAATAAAGAATGTCCCGAACATGGAGTGCAAAAAAAAGAAAGCCTTTCTAAAAGCAAACCAAAAGTGTTGACCTTTTTACAGTCGACTTCTCAATTTCATGCCTTAATCTGAAAACATAATAACGTTTTCTCTGTTCATTATCGATGATTCATTACCATTTTTTCAAGATTTCCGTGACGTCCATAGACTCATTACAAAATGCCGTAATAGTTCGGCATTATAAAAGGAAAATCCGAAACCTATTCATATGTTTGTGTATTGTCTTATAAATTTTGAAACCTATCAAAAACATGTGTAATATATCGATAGCATGGCGATGTTCTGGAAAGTAAATTTTGAAGCAATTCAATCATGCCACTGACATTTTCACTATCCGACAAACCCGACGTTTCCTTTTCTGCTTTTATTCTTTATAGTCAAAAACAATAAATTCGATTTAGACGAAGGACTTAATCTGGTAGATGAGAACAAAATCCAGTAAATTCGTTTTTAAGCGTTAAATAGTAAATACACATCAGAGAAACATAAATAAATACGAAACCTATTTTGTCAGTCCGGTTCATATCTTCTTTAACAAAACTGCATTGCACATATTACATATACTCCGTTTCTTTGAACTTCTTTAGAACCAGTTTTTTTTAAACCACAGTTTAGACTAATTAAAGTGATTTTCAACCAGAAGTACATCATTTACTCTTCATCCCAGACTGATGTTATCAAATTTATACTAGTACAATTCGAATAATAGTATATTATATAAGAGTTGCTTGCATTATACAAAGAAGTGAAAAAATGTCAACTAATTCAGTGTGTTATACTATAATACTCTTTCCGTTTTATATTAATTGTCGTTTTAGAAATTTTTTTTTGTTTTAAATTAGTTGTCGTTTTCAGTTTTCAATGTAACATTTATTAGTTTTTTATTTTTTATAATTATTTTTATTATGCAATTTGTTTTATTATTGGTTGAATTGTATTTAAATAGATAATTAATGATGTTTTTATATTGAAAAATTAATACAATTCATATTTTTTTAATTTTTGTGTATAAATTTAAAACGATAACTAAATAAATCTAGAGGGATTAATATATCTATAGTGAGGTGCTTTAATTTAATTAAGAAATGGAGATTAAAACTTATTAATAATGGAGAATATTGATTTGTTTTAATAATGTGAAAATTTAATGGAGAAGAAGTTGGATGGGAGTGGTAGATTTTGAGGCAATAAATAGTGCGGAGAATTATGAGTTGTTGCAATTAATGCACGCAAGGCATGCATTTGTTTTCTCATCCACACCACCAATAATAAGTCCATTTTTTATTGGAGTTTGTTCCGTTAATAAGAAATACTACCATTGAATAAAATAACAAGAACAAATACTACATACTAGTATACTTCAAAACAAATTGTCTCAAAGAATAAACGAGACTTTGCAGGTTGTGGGAGTGATGAGTGCGACATATCAGTCGACAGAAGGGATATATGATTTCATTATATATTATAAAATGTTTTCATTTTTAATTGTATTTTTCGTTATTTAAAGTACGAACACAAATATGGATTGACCTGTATATTTCGTGGATTTTTTAGCGTATCATGGTTTAATTACTAGGTCAAAAGGTTGATATTTATCTTTGTTAGTTAGTACTATAAAATGTGCGTTATATTTACACTAGCCTAGGATTCTGCAATCCACTCCATGGTGGAGTAGTAAATGGACCCATCAGTTGGAAGTTGCCTCACACGAACATAAGTCAGAAATTGTTCATTTTACATGATTCTCGATTATTTTATACTACTACTTGGGAAAACAAAGTATTTATCTTCTTCTTTTCTTTTTTTTTTGCTTCTTGATTTCTATATAAACCTATATATACCTGTTCTAAAATAAAACAATCTGTATATATTTCAAAATATTTTGAAAAGCACAGGCAAACAAATTCTCTTTATATCTCTCTCTGATTATTTCTACTAGCTTCCAATTAATTTGGTGTGTCGTAATATGTCCAAGACATCTTGATTTTTACTGTTATTTTTTTTTAAGACATCTTAAAGTTTGGATCTGATAAGAAGAATAATAATCTTGTACCTCGGGCGTTCTATCCAATCAAACAATTTCTATCATCGAACGTGTGATCAAAATATAATCAATGATTGTTATGGATGCTACTACCATATTAATATCGGGGACTCAGATGAGTTATAGAGTTATTAAAACGTAGATTCTCATTGACAGTTCTGTGTGTTTAGCAGAATAATAAAGTCGTTCTGCAGAGTTTTATCCACGTATCATTTTTACAAAATCATGAGATTAAATATAACTGTAGCATCCCATTAAAAAAATTGTAACATTTGACTAATTTACGAAAATTAGAAAACATTTACCTAAGCAATATTAAAGTTTTATGTTTGATTTCATTTTTTTATTCCACGTATTTTTATTTTAAATTCTTGATTGATACTATTAAGGTACTATAATTTTTTAAGAAAATCGACTGTAGCGGGTATCAACTAATAGCTAAATGATTAATGTTCGTTATTTCACGATTCTCAAGTTCCATAAACAAAATGAAGAAGAATCTCCATTAATCAAGGTTTTTTTTTCTAACAGAGTTTGTTCTATTCTTCCATTTAGGTTATTGAATTCAATAGCATTGTAAATTAATAATTTAGTAACCATAGTCAATTAGAAATGCTGCCGTTTAACATGTGGTCCGAAAAATGTAGTGTGAAAGAAAAGGAAAACCGGACGGGAGGCCGTAGACGTAAAAGAGAACCCCGTTAAATTTCTTCTTCACATAATGACATATGCTAAAGAGAAACAACCAGGAAGTAAAGTAAAGAAAAACCTCAAATAAAACCCCTAGAAATTTATTGGGTCTCGCTCTTATATCAGTAGGACTTTCGACTTTGGAAACGAAGAAACTTATCGAGAGATTTTAATTCCCCGCAGTTGTTAATTTACTTATTTTCCCGACAAAACGCTTTGAGTTTCCATTTTTCATTATTTCTTCTTCGTTTTTCTAATCTCTCCTTCACTGTTTTTCTGTTCATAGTAGTTAGATCTTTTTTTTTTTTTTTTTTTTTTAGTAGTTAGATCTTATGTCTTTTCAAATCCGTATCTTTAAAATTGATCTTCTCTCATTTGATTAAACCCATCGATCATATCCACAAGGATTCCAGTTTTCGAGACGTTTGGTGTTCGATCTTCTCCGTAGCTTTGTGACAACAGAATCTAGGGTTTCGGTTTCCCTTTAAAAAAAGAAAAAATTCTGGTTCATAAATTAACTGCTACAACGACAACTGTACATCACCATCATTAAGAGAAACC